GACAAGATCTATTAGTTCATCTGTGTCTTATGACTCTCCTTACACATGACACTGGTACTCAATGAAGTTCACAGCTTCAGTCTGTATGTGTGGCCCTTAGGCTCTCTCAGGCTCTGGAGCCTGTCTGCCTGGGTTTGCTATAATCATTCTGTAGCTTACCCAGCCACACGACTGCAGGCTTAAGTCACAAAACCTCTAAGACTCAATTTCCTCCCTTGTAAACGGGGACGATGACAGTCCCTCCCTTTAAGTGAGGCCATGAGAACCAGTGACTTAAATAGTGTGTGCCAGAACTTGGCAAACAGAGAACGGTCAATAAGAGTGAGTATTAGAGCTGGCCTTAGTGGAACAGGCCTTTAATTCCAGCACTTGGGAGGCAGAGGCAGACAGGTATCTGAGTTTGAGGCCATCCTGGTCTAAATAATGAATTCTAGAACAGCTAGACCTACATAGAGAGACCCTGTCTTGAAAAAACAAAACAAACAAATAAACAAACAGGGTAAAACAACAGGTCCATGTCTCCACTAGTGACTGAGGGAAGAGAATTATAAGACATGTCTGCAGCTGTCTAGGCTCACGAACTGATCCACTCTCTAGTGTTGCCTCCCTTACAACCCACTGTCATTCTGTTTCCTGTGAAAGTCCTAGGACCTCAAGTCCAGAGTGTTCACTGACCTGAAAAGACAAGTGTCTCCTTGGAAGAGCCACTGATTCTTGAAGGAGTTACAAGAGGCAGAGAGGACTAAGGGATGCTGGCAGGAAAGGTCAGTTTTCTCTTTGGAGGGATGCCTTCATGTTCCCTACCTGGCTCAGTGCTTGGCAGGTTGAGTGACATCCTGCCTATCTTCCTGGGAGCATTGCTGATCCTGAAACTCAGATACCCTCAACATGGCAAAGGGCTTGACTGCTGGAGATCCAATGCAGCCACAAAGAAAGTATGGCTACTTCCCAAGTGTGTTTGAATGGCAATGACTGCGGCTATTAGAACTTTCTGGTGATACTCAGCTTGAGTCCCAGAGATGGGTTGTGAATGAGAGGAAAGACATTCCAGGCAGAGGCATGAAATGGGCAGGGAAGCTTGGAGCATCTGAGTAAGGCATGGGGTCTGAAGCAAGAGACAAAAGTTGAAACTACAGAGATTAATGGTCCACCTTTGAAGATCTTCCTGTGATCAGTTAGAGACCTGTGGTTGGCAATTGGGAACTAATGGAGATGTATAAAGAGACAAGGTGACAATTGTAAGATTTTTGTAGTCTGTGAAACAGCATAACAGTACCTACCTCATAGGGTTATGGTGGGATTAAACAAAGTGATTTATATAAAGTACTTAGGATGGCTTTTAGATAATGTTCAATAAATTGTTAGTCATGCAGTTGCTGAGGATTTTAATGTCCTGTTAGGAAGAGCAATTGCAAAGTCACAGGCCACCAGGGCAATGCATAGAGGAAGTTTAGCTTGGCCAAGTAGATGGAGTCCACGTCGTCTTGCATGGAGATCTAGTAGGCATGCGCTACTGTCCAATAGAGAGGAAGTCTCAAGCTTGGTGTAGCCCACAAGTGCATCGTGGCCTGGCCCTTGCTGATATGTCTTGTTCTCACACAGTGAAATCCAGACACATTCTTAATCTTGCTCACCCTGACCCTTTGTCTTTGCTGTCCCCTTTATCTGGAATGCTCTTCTATTACCCCTTCTTGTAGCTGCCCCCCCCCTTTTTTTTTATAAACTCTTAATCCTAATGCCATTTATTTTGAGAGGCTTTTCCCAAGACCCAGTTCATCAGCCTTATGGTCAGGTAAAATGATCTTATCGTTTTCATGTTTAGTGTCTGTTATTCCCTAAACCCTGTAAGATCTACAGTTCTTAAGGGGACAGATTATGCCTTCCTTGCTTGCCACTATGCCCCTGTCTGGAGCAAGCAGATCTTCAATAAATGTTTGACAGGAAAATGAAGGGTCTCAAATGATATCTTCTAGAGACTCCTTTTCAAGTTGTTCCCAGCAGACGTGACCCACCAACCTCAACCAGAAATTAACACAGTTCAGTGAATTCAGTGAAAGGAGGGCTTTGTAGAAGTACAGCTCTTGAGCCAAAGAGAATGAATTACATGAAATGAAGTAAATTCTGATGCAGTAGAACAGATTGGGGCAATTTCCATCAGTGGGATGGCCAGAAAGATGCTCCCGGTCTTGGAGAGTCTGCAGGCGCTCCATAGAGATGGGGTGGGAAGGTGCTCGTGGGACTAAGAAGCATGGACTGCTAGAATCCTGGAGGGATTCCACCAAGCCACTCAAAATGAATTTTTGACATTATCCCCAAAGGAGATTGCAACCAACAGACTTGAAAAGAATAATGCTCACTCACAGAACTCTACAAAATGCAAACATCACATAGAGTTGGGGCTCATCTTTCAACACCCACTGCAGTGCCTTCCAGTTGTCCATTTGCTCCTAGCAGTTCTGTCAACCTGTCTACCAGGCCCACATCCTCCCGATTCTCTGTCCCCCATGCCTGCTCTCCAGTCTCCTATGGTGGTGGCTGCCCATCTCATTTTTCCTTGGTAAATGTCTATTCCAGAAGGCAGTTAGATGAGCCCTCCAGGCTTTAGCACTTGCATTTTCTCTGCCTGAAACTTCTCCCTGGGAGCTGGCTCCTGAACTGACTTTAATTCTTTGCCTGGATGTCATTTTCTCAGGGGGGTGTCTTCCCTAAAATCTCACTAAGAATTGTTCCATTCACCCTTCACCTGCCCTTCTCCCCCCCTTCCTATTGGTGCCTACCCTAATGACTGTGCATTTCTTGTTTTCTCTGACTACTGTGTTGGTTCCATGAGTGAAGAGATTCATTTTTTAAATTGCTATTTGTTGTCTGGAAGAGTGTCACACACACAGTAGGTTCTCAAAAAATGTGTGTGGAATGAATGGTTGCAACTCTTCAAATTTCCATGTATTTCAAAAATATACCAGTAGTTCACCAGTAGTTGGGAATCCCCCATTCCCAACCATTTCTGCCTTATAACAAGGTTTATTTCCTCACACATCTGTAGGCAGAAGTCTGAAATCAAGATATTAATAGGAGAACGTTTCCTCGAACAATCTAGGGAAGAATTCCAAGCTCCTGGAGCCTTCAGGCATCTTCAGTTTCGAGTAGCAACTTCAATTGCTGCCTATGGCTCTTTCTGTCTTCTCTCCCTCTTAAAAGGATACATGTCATTAGAATTAGGGGCCACTCTAATCCAGGATGGCCTCATTTCAAGCTTTTAACTTAGATCTGTAAAAACTGTTTGGCAAATAAAGTTACCTTTTGCCACTAGCCAGGAGGTGTGAGCCAGAAATGCAGCTCTACTCTGTCATCTGCAGCAGCCTGGGGACTTCTTTCTAGAGACTTCCTTTCAAGAGAAAATGGGATTCTTGATTTCATTGCAGAAAAAGATTCCAGGGCCAGACAGTTTGAAGCAGAGTTGAAGTTTATTCACATTTTGGTCAGCAAGATGGCTCACCAGGTAAAAGCACATGCCTGATGACATGAGTTTGGTCCCTAGAACTCATGATGTTCTACAACCCCACACACAATAATATATAATTTCAGCATAGCTTAAGCATAGTGGGGACTTGGGGGAATAGTTTTATAGAGGTAATCAGGGAAAGAATAATACACAGCCAAGAGCTTGGATGTGGGGTTTGAAAGGAGAGTCCCACTAAGTGTGGTACCATCTGCCACACAAGATTACTTGGCATTTCTCAAGTTACATCTCAACAAACTGTTAAGAATTCCCCCTTCTCTCTCTCTCTCTCTTTTATTTTAAAATCTAGCTTACAAGGTATCAGGTTTCGTTATGACATTTTCATTCATACTTGGTTTGGTTGAGCCTTGTCACCTGCTTGCTCCTCTCTCCTATCATCCCTGTTGCTGCCCCATGTCTACAGGTCCTTCTTTTTCCCCTCTTTTTTTTTGTTTCGTTTTGTTTTGGTTTGGTTTTTGAGACAGGTTTTCTTTGTATTGTTTTGTAGGTCATCCTGGAACTCGCTCTGTAGACCAGGCTGGCTTCGAACTCACAGAGATCCGCCTCCTGAGTGCTGGGATTACCTTCTTTTCCCTCTTGTTTAGATAAATGAATAATAAGGTGACTTCAGCGGTGCCTTGAGTAGGGTTTGCACTCTGATGATAGACCCACATGTCACAAGGATATACACCGGAGTTAAGACATATCATTTATTTAAGGGTTTCTTGTGAGTGTTCTAGGAAATTGCCGCTTTACAGCTGGGAAAGGAGAAAGGCCATATACGTTCAGGACTTGCGCATTCTTAGCTGAAGTGTCTTTATATAAAGTGAGTATTGTCTCTCCATAGGAAACCTCCAAAGCAAATGTTAATGGTACCGGAATTCTTGACTCTCAGCTAATCCTTAACTGGACTTGGGAGGGAAGTGATCTTTCTTTCCTGCAGTAATTCACCGCCTAAACCTAAACTATTTATTTAACCATGAGTTGAAAACATTTATTTATTTTGGTGAGGATTGATGTTTTCAGGTTACTGTTGTCATTTGCCTGGATATAACAGCTAAAACATGGGACACAGTAGGCACTTAAGCGTTGTTTTAAAAAAATATTGCATTTTATTTATCATGAGGGCAAATGGAGATGGTTTTCTGCTTCGAACTCAGGTCTCAGGTCATGCGGCTTGGCATCAAGCATCTTCACCCATTGAGCCATCGGCTGGCTAAAGCCATTAGTTCTTGAACGAGTGACCATCTGGAGTGGGTTGCATAGTGTGTGGCGTCTACGGGGTGCAGTTTGGTTGACGTCCGGGAGAGAATACTGGGAGGTACTGGCTCAGGCACTCCAGACGCCAAGGTGGGGTTGCATCTGACACTAATTGACAACACCAGCTTGCATCCACCGAGAAAGCGCGGTTCAACCCTTCGTGACGCCCACTGCGCAGTCGCAGGAGATAGTCGAGGCCTGCGCAGCTCTGCAGCTGGGCGGGTTCGCGCAGGCGCAGAGGGAGTCCGCGACCCGGGTAGTGCTCTTGGGCGCTCCGGGCGCGGTGCCTGGGGCATTCGGGGTCCCGCGTGCTTGTTCCTTGCACCCCTCAGCCGCTGCCAGGCGACCGACCGGTCTGCTAGGCTGTCTGCATTGCGCCTGCGTCGGGCGTCAGTCACCGCCATCATGCTGCTGCCCGTGTTCACCCTGAAACTGCGCCACAAAATCAGCCCCCGCATGGTGGCCATAGGGCGATACGACGGGACTCACCCGTGCTTGGCGGCTGCCACCCAAGCGGGCAAGTTAACCGGTCCCACCCGAACTCCGCCGGCGTCCAGATCCCGCCTCTCATGCTGCCCCGCCCCCAGCCCACATTGCCTAGCAACCAGTCTCGCTGCTGTCCTTGGCCTCAGTCCTATCTATTTGGCGTTTCAGAGGAACAGCTTCAGAGTAGTGACGTTTCTCATGACCAAGTTCTTAGTGTTGGACACTACTGAGAACGGATCAGGAGCTTAGGAAGGAGAAGGCCCAAGAAGGAGGAGAGCTTGGCCAGGATTAGCAGTGATTGCTGACTTCAAATTCCTGCCCAGAGCCTCTCTGCTCGCCGTATGGAGTCTTCCACATTTGTCTCTTTACAGGGAGGAAGTGGGGGGGCGGGGTTCCCAGTGTTAAATTCAGAATATACTTTTGGTCCTTGATCATGTACATTCAGATTTCTCCCCATAACTTAAGTATTTACTATGAGGCACATACTGGGGTAGGTGTCAGAGTCACAGAGACAAAAGATCACTTAAAAAAAACCTTCATATTTGATACTTCTATATGCTTTCTAAAAGTATTGACCTCATCTTATCTCTGAATCCCCAAAATCATTTAAGAAGAGTCAATTGTAGGTGAAAGTTTGTTAAATGACAAGACAGATCAAGGCCCTATGTATTGATAGAAGCATGCACAAAATACAAGGACTATAAGGACTTCAGAAATGCAATTTCTAACAGGCACAAAGCCTTATACCTGTTAATTCTCTCAGCATCGTTGCTACAAGGCCAAAAATACTAGTGTAGCATTGGTGTACTGGATTCTTGCTTTACTGACCTCTTAATTTAATAACCTTCTGCACTGAACAAATAATAGCAACAATATGATGTATGGGAAATAGTCACTAATTGTTAGCTGCTGTTATTTTCTTTTTGTTTTTTCAACTTTACTGACTAGAAATAGTTCAAAGAGGTTCAATTTAGTGTCTGAGATTGCTCAACCAGAAAGTTCTGGAAAGGAAGCTATATGGGGTACCTCATGCCTGTAATCCCAGTACAAGAGACTGAGGCAGGAGGATTACCACCAGTTTGAGATCATCTTGGGCTATAGAGCAAGACCCAGTTTGGAAAAAGAAAAAAGTTGTAGAAGTAAGATTGAAAGCATTTTGTTGGACCCAGTGTGGTTGTCAATTACACTTGTGAATGAGTTTTCAGGCACTTCCATGTATGTTTTATGCTACTTTATATGCTATGTTTTGGGATACATAGCTAGAGCATAATGATTCATTTAAGTGGGTTATGGTTTCATTAATTGGTATGATGAGGTAAAGTGCTGAGCATTGGGCCTGATATGTGATGCCGTGGTTAAGAGGAACTAACAAACCTGATATAGTGGTACACACTTGTTATTCCAGTTACTCAGGAGGTTGGGATCATAAATTCAAAGCTAGCCTGGTGTCCTCTTAGGTTAGGGTTTCGGTAGCTGCAACAAAACACCATGACCAACAAGCAAGTTGGGGAGGAAAGGGTTTATTTGGTTTACACTTCAGCATTGATATTTATCACTGAAGCAAGTCAGGACAGGAACTCACACAAGGCAGAATCCCAGATGCAAGAGCTGATGCAGAGGCCATGGAGGGGAGCTGCTTACTGGCTTGCTTCCCATGGCTTGCTCAGCCCACCTTCTTACAGAACCCAGGTCCAGGGATGGCTCCACCCACCATGGGCTGGGTCCTCCCCATTGATCACTAAATGGGAAAATGCCCTACAGCTGGATTTCATGGAATCATTTCCTTAGATGAGGCTCCTTTCTGTCTGGTGACTCTAGGTTGTGTTAAGTTGACACAAAAATCACCCTACTCACCTAGGCTACACAGGGAGACCCAGTCTCAAAATTAAAATTTAGAAAGGGGAGAGGGTAGGGAGACTCCTCATTGGATACAGGCACCTACTGCCAAGCCTGATGACCTGAGTTCTAGCCTAGGGGCACATAGTGGAAGGAGAATTGACTCTTGTAAGTTGTTGTCTGACCTCCATTTGCCTGCCATGGAGCCTGAACATACACACAGGAAAATCATGCAATAAGATAAAATTAAAAAGGCTGATGGTATAACTCAGAGGTAGAATGCTTGCCTAACATACTCAACACCGTAGGTTCAGTCTCCAGTGCTGCCCCTGCCTCAGGCACTGACAAACATTCAGAACAGAGTCATATTTGCATATGCATATATATGACACAGCAGCAGTATAACAGGCTGAAGATATCCCATTGGTGTTATCTTACCAGTTTTTCAACCTGTGGGTCATGACCCCTTTGTGGGTCTTAGATATCCTGCAAATCAGATATTTACATTACAATTCATAACAGTAGCAAAATTACAGTTATGAAATAGCAATGAAATAATTTTATGGTTGGGGGTCACCACTACATGAGGAACTGTATTAAAGGGTCAAAGCATCAGGAAGGATGAGAACCACTGCCCTAGCCCCTAATTTGAGGCCTTATCCTGTGCTGGGCACTTAACTCTGCAGATACTGTGGTAAATGGAATTTCACCTCTGGAGCTTACATTTGAGAGTACCAGACAGTTAACAGACTGCATCGGAGAAAAGTATTTTTTCTCTTGCAAGTGGGTACCAATTTCAGGCAGATAGCTTCTTGGTTAGGGGTGGGGGCCTGTGTCCACTTCCTGCTGCTCTGAGCACAGAGACCCACCTGGCTTGCACTTGTGCAGGCCCTGTACCTGCTGCCACAGTCTCCGAATTCATATATGCATCAGTCCTGTTGTATCTGGAGAACAGTGTGCCTTTGGAGTCTTCATCCCCTTTGACTGTTAACAAACTTTTTGCTTCATCTTCTGCATAGCTCCCTGGGTCCTGAGAGGAGGGTTTGATGAAGACATCCCATTAGGACTGAGTGTTCCAAAATCTCTCCATATTGTCTAGTCATGAGTTTGTATTTGTTCCCATCTACTGCAAGAAGCTTCTGTGAGGATGGCCGAGTGAGGCACTGATTTGTTGGTGTAGCAGAATATCACAGGAGTCATTTTATCATTATGTTCCTTGAGCAGAACAATAGTATTTGGTTTTCCCTTAGACCAGTAGTTCTCAACCTTCCTAATGCTGTGACTGTTTAATACAGTTCTTCATATTGTGGTGACCTCCCCCCAACAATAACATTATTTTGTTGCTACTTCATTACTGTTTTTTTTTTTTTAACCACTGTGAATTGTAAATAGTCTGATATGTGACCCTTGAGAAAAGGTCTTTCCACCCATAGGTTGAGAACCACTGCCTTAGGCTTGACCCATCCAGTCTCAGGTCTTTGGTCTCTTGAGCAGTGTCAGGCATGGGTTCCATCTCATGGAATAGGCCTTAAATTCAGTCAGAGGGCGGTGGGTTACTTCCACAGTGTTTGTGCCACCATTGCACTGGCATGTCTTGCAGGTAGGCAGGTCACCTTTGTAGATGGCAGGGTTTGTGAATTGCTGATTACCTTTCTCCTCTGGTGTTGTGCAGGGTGCTCTTCAGTCCCGTGAATGCTAGTCAGTGGGGTGAAGCTTCTCATTGGGCAGCAGCTTGGCTTCTACATGTCTGTTAATGTGTGCAAATATTGTCTTCAAGGGTCGGGTCTTAACACCCATGCTGACAAGGATACTTTAGAAAGCCATTTCTTTGGGATTTTTGTTTTGTTTTGTTTTTTACTTTACACAGAGCAATATATTTTACATATTAAATAACACTAATAAAATGGTTCTGAAATAGCTTTAAATAGAAGTAAAAAGAGAAAAATTTCAGTTTAGAACAACAACAACAACAAAAATACCAACAAAAAAGTACTTTTTCTAGATGGGTCATTGCAGCAGATGTATTCAGTGACTAGTCATGTCTTGTTCTTACTGCACTAATGGCAGTGAAATTCAAAGCAAGCCCAGTCATGACCTCAAAGGACGAACACATGTTGGCATCTTTTGCAATGTAAAAATGGTTCTTGATAATTCAGATTCAGTACACAGAAAAGTGAATTCACAGGTCTACCAACCCCCCTCTCTGATACACACACACACACACACACACACACACACACCCACACCCACACCAGCCCACCAACAAAAAAAAAAAAAAAAATAAAAAAAAGAAAAAAAAAAAAAAAAAAAAAAAAAAAAAAAAAAAAAAAAACCTGTATTTTTTTTTTGCCTGCATTCTGTCTTTCCTTATCGTCTAATATTATTCTCTGTTGGTCTCCTTTCTAAATTGTAGACTATTTCCCCACTTACACCTGTTTACATATATGTAATATAAGCTAGGATCCACAGATGAGGGAGAACATTTGAGTTTGGTAAACATACCTTGTTTAATGTTATGAACATTGGTGTTTTTTTCCTGGGGGACATTTTTTTCTGTCACTATAGAACTGGAGAATCAGCTGATTTAGATCACCAGTGTCTCAGCTAGGACAACACTGTCATCTACAGCCATTCCTTTGAAGGAAGTGTCTGTTCTTCATGCAGTTGAAGGGACAGAAGACCTCAGTAGGGACTCTCGAGACCAGGAGCAGTCTCATCCTGGGGTTTCTTGTTGCTTTTGGGAAAAACTTGATTCTCATTCCAGACTCTGGGGTGCACAAGTCATTTCTCTTCCTGTTTTTCTCTCAATGTCTAATTTCTAGAAAACTTTAAGAATTCTTTGTTCAGAGATATTACAAAATGAAATGTGATGTGGTAACTCCTGCTGTTCGTGGTCTGGGCACACCAGGGTTCTTGATTCAGCTCTGTCACTTGCAATCAGGGCCTTAATCCTCTGACCCGTATAAGTCAAGTGCGATTAATGTTGATAACAGCTTAAAAGTATCACACAAATGAGAACATTAAATGATATTCAGTTACTACACTTCTTTTGAGTATATTTTAAATGAATTTGTGTATGTGTATGTGTATATTAGTGTGTGTGGTGCCACAGTGTGCGTATGGGGATCACAGGAAGCCAGCTCGCTGTGGGAGTCACTTCTTATCCTCCACGTGGGTCCCTGGGATAGAATGCAGGCTTGGTGGCAAGCTCCCTTATTGTTCAGCTATCTTGCTGAACAATTTTTCTTTTTTCTTTTCTTTTTTTTTGGTTTTTCGAGACAGGGTTTCCCTGTGGCTTTGGAGGCTGTCCTGGAACTCCCTCTTGTAGAGCAGGCTGGTCTCGAACTCACAGAGATCCGCCTGCCTCCCCCTCCTGAGTGCTGGGATTAAAGGCGTGTGCCCCCCCCCCCCGGCTTTTTTTTTTTTTTTTTTCTAGACAGGGTTTCTCTGTAGCTTTGAAGCCTGTCCTAGCCCTTGCTCTGGGGACCAGGCTGGCCTCGAACTCACAGAGATCTGTCTGCCTCTGCCTCCCAAGTGCTGGGATTAAAGATGTGCACCACCAATGCCCGGCCCAATTTTTTCTTACAATATTATTTTTCCTAAACTAATTTGTATAGTTAATAACTTAAAATTAATACTGCATTTATACTAAAGGAATGAAATACTTAAAATTAAGGCCCAGGAATTCCAATTTAGTGTTTTTCATCTTTCTGTCACGATGATCCCTTAAAGTTGGTGTTTCTGTTTCTGTTTTGTTTTGTTTTTAAGATGATAAAATTTTTCTCGGTGAGAGGGAGCTGGAGAAGTGCCTCATGGGTTAATAATTTTACTGCTCTTTCAGAAGACTGGAATTTGGTTCCCAGTACCCCCATTGTCAGCTCATAAACCCTTAACTCCAGCTTAAGGGGATATAATGCATTTTTTTTTTACCTCTACGGGTGCCCATACACATTTGTACATACAGGCATAGAGACATACACCTTAGTAAAAATAAAATCTTAAGCAGTTTCTCCAGGGAAGTGCCACAGTTGTACTATATGTTCCTGTTCATTGTAGCTCTTTAGAAGCCACAGGCCGCCGGGTGTTGGTGGCACACGCCTTTAATCCCAACACTCAGGAGGCAGAGGCAGGCAGATCTCTGTGAGTTCAAGGCCAGCCTGGTCTCCAGAGCGAGTGCCAGGATAGGCTCCAAAGCTACACAGAGAAACCCTGTCTCGAAAAAAGAAGCCACAGGCCATTCTAATATCTAAGACACTGCACCTCACACCCAGTTCTCCATCACTGCAATGTCACTGCACCTGAGAATTTCTGAATTAAGCTTCATTTTCACAGGTGAAGCTTAGGGACATTGAATGGTGAAGTCACTCAGATGATCAAATTTATGATAATCAAAACTGTTGAATTTCTGTCTTTGGAACTAATTTTAATTTTTGATCTTACTAGTGGGGACTATGAAACAGTGTTCAAGAATTTGATTTATATGACAAATTTGAAGCTTGTAAAGCACATTAAACTGATGGGCTATTTTTAAGGGCTTGGGGGGGAATTTACTAGGGCCTGGTGTGGAAGACACTTCAGGAAGTGCTCTTCTGGTTCCTGAGATCATGTGCTGTCTGGCATCAGCTTCCTGTGCTTAACACCAGGGAAGACAGCCCTGTCTGAACCCTTTGTACCCCACTGGTAGGGAGCACGGTTCAGCTGGAGCTTGCTCTTCACTTTGACGGCAGGGCTAAGAACACTGGATTTCCATAGTGCACAGACTGGAAGTTAGCTACCCACAGAACTGTGTTTGAGCATCTTTTTTGTTGTTGTTGTTGTTTGTCTTCTGAGACAGGGTTTCTTGGTGTAGCCCTGGCTGTCCTGGAACTCACTCTGTAGACCAGGCTGGCCTCAACCAGAGATCCATCTGCCTCTGCCTCCTGAGTGCTGGGCTTAAAGGAGTGTACCACCAGGCCTGGCCTTACATGAATACCTTAAACTTTATAGATTAAGGTGACTACTTCTTGATGGAATCCACTAATCAATATTTAAAACATGTCATTTGAATTTGGCACTTTTGGATGTCTTAAGAGACTATGACTTTTCTGTTTTTCAGGTTTTTATTCATAACCCTCACACACGGAGCCAGCATTTCAGTGCATCTAGAGTCTTCCAGAGCCCCCTGGAGTCTGATGTTTCTCTCCTCAACATTAACCAGACAGTCAGCTGCCTGACTGCAGGAATCTTGAACCCTGAGCTTGGCTATGATGCGCTTTTAGTGGGAACACAGACCAGTCTTTTGGCTTATGATATCTACAATAATTCAGATTTGTTCTACAGAGAGGCAAGTATACCCCCTTTAACCATCAATCCCCATTACCCATTAATGCCCATGTATTTTTGTGGATTTTTTTTTGTCAGACAAGAAGTTTTTGTTGGTTGGTGGTGTTGGGCATTGAACTCAGAGCCTTGGGTGTGCATCACAGTTAAATGTTCTATCACTGAGCTGTTGTTGACAGCCCTTGCCACTTTATTTGAAGATGTTTGTTGCAGTGTCTTCTGTGTCGTCGCAGTGGGGAACTCAGCTTCACTGCTGTTTGATGCATATGTAGCCTACTTGTTGGGTTATGGTTATTAAACATTTGGTGACAGTCATGAGTGTCTCTAGCATGTGTATCTGTGACACCATCTGTCAAGATCTATTGGGAACCCAGCAAACAGTTCTCTGGTGACTTTGCCTTAAGCACCATGGAGGGCCTTCCTGCAACCTGCTGTCTACAAGTGCTGTAGATTTAATGCCCAAGCTATCCATATTCCATAGGAGAGATAGGAAAGAAATATTAAAACAAATCACCTATAAACAAACATCATTTGGATTTGCCCACCCAGATCTGTGTGTCTGTGTTTTGAGATTAGGTCTCACTGTTTCCCAGGCTGCTCTTGAACTTGTGAACCTCCTTCTTCAATCTCCTGAGTGCTGGGATTATAGACATAGACCAACTAGCTATGCCTGATTACAGAGTTTGTTTGTTCATTTTTTTTTCTGAGACAGGTTTTCTCTGTGTAGCTTTGTAGACCAGGCTGACGTTGAACTCACAAAGACCAGCATGCCTCTGTCTCCCGAGTGCTGGGATTAAAGGCATGCCTCAAACTCACATAGACCAAACTCTGCCTCCTGGGATTAAAGGTATGCACCACCACTGCTGCCTACTGTGTGTTCTTGTGTCATTCTTTGGCTCCTGATAAACACCATGACCAGGGGAGGAAAGGGTTTATTTCAGCAAACAGGGTACAGTCATTTGTTGCAGGAAGTCAGGTCAGGAACTCTGGAGGAAGGCTGCTTTCTGGCTCTTATGAGCTCCTGCTTAGCTAGCTTCCTTTTAAAAGTTATTATTATTATTATTATTATTATTAATTATTTTATGTGTATGGGTGTATGTGTGTGTATGTCTATGCACCACTTGCACACCAGGTGCCCTTGAGTGCCATAAGAGGGTATTGGATCTCCTGGAACTGGAGTTACCAATAGTTAGGAGCTACAACCTTCTGGCCTCTGCAGACAAACACACATAAACAAAATAAATGAATATTTAAAAAATTAAAAGCCAGAGGTGTAATTGTAATGCCAAAGGCCTTTCTCCTCCTACCCTTTGTCCCTCCTCCTCTTCTTCTTTTTCTTTTTTATTGTTTATTGTTGAGTTAAGAGTCTCTCTAAGTTGCCTAGGCTAGTCTTGAACTCATGAAGCAGCCAAATATGCTGGCTAATTTTTGTCATCTTGACACAAGCTAGGGTTATCTGGAAAGAGGGGACCTCAAATAAGAAAAATGCCCATATTAGATTGGCCTATAGGCCTATGGGGGCATTTTCTTATTTAAGGACTGATGTGGAAGGGCCCAGTGCACTGTGGGCAGTGCTACCCCTAGCTAGGTGATCCTGGGGTTGTATGAGAAAGCAGGATGAGCAAGCCATGGGGAACAAGCCAGTAGGCAGCACTCCTCCATGTCCTGCATCCAGTTTCCTGCCTTGGCGTCCCCTGATGATGCAAGTGAAATAAACCTCCATGTAGCCCAGTTGACCTCAAGCTTGCAAGCTGTCTGCAGATATTATAACCCTGCACCATTAAGCTAAATACATTTTTAATAGTTGTTGTTAAATTGCTCCCCAGGGGACTCTTGTTTTTCTACCTTCCTGTTAGATTATGAGAGTACTTCAGCAGCTATCGATTTAAAAAAAAAAAAAAAAAAAAAAAAAACCACTGCTTATATAAGAAGAGAAAATGATTACCAAAGTTTTCATTTCATTGGCTATTTATGCTTCCTTTCTACTGAGTTTATTGTTCATTTCTTGCTATTTATTAGCAGAAAATTAAGTTTGATATATTTATTAACTCATTTTCCCAGTTCATTATTACCTTTTATGCATGTCTGTCTGTCTTTGTTTTTCTTTGAGACAGGGTCTTGATGTGTTTGCTGATCTCAAACTCTGAGGGTCAGGCAATCCTTCTGCTTCAGCCCTGTGCTCAGCTGAGACTACAGGTGTATTTACTATTTACCTTTATGTTTTGATTGGCTGGTCTTTTGGCAATTTAAATTTCTTATGAGTGCTGTCTTTTTACACACACACACACACACACACACACACACACACACACACACACACACACACGGCTTTCTTTTGGGCCACCAACCAGCTCCCAAATAAAAACATGAAGATTTAATATTAGTTATGAATGCTAAACCTTAGCTTATGCTCATTTCTGGTTAACTTTTCTTGAACTTAAATTAACCTGTTTCTTGTCTATAACACCATAAATAAAAGACCCAGAGATAGCTATTGGGGTTTTAGCTTCAAGCTGAAGATCAGAGAAGCAAAGCAGCCAAGCCACTAGCTCTTACCTCTACCTCAGGCTGTGATCCTGTCTCCACGAGCTCTCTACCAAGCCTCAGACTTGCCTTCTCCTCAACATGGGCTGGAGACTAAATCGCAGAATGCAGCCTGAGACATTGGGCTCCTGTTTTTTTATATACCTCTCAAGGGCATGAGCTCTGTTACTTTTAGACAATTCAATCGTGTAGGCCAGGGTGGCCTTGAACTCAGAGAGATCCATCTGCCTGTCTTCTGAGTTCTGGGATTAAAGGTGTGTGGCACACCACCTAGCTCTATTGCTAGCTATTATGGCTGCTGGGATTAAAGGTATGTATCACCATTGCCTGACCTCTATAGCTTGTGGCTGACTTTGCATCCTGATACTTCAGGCGATCTTTATTAAATCATAAATAATATATCGCCACACTTGTCATCTACATTTTGCCTCCAGGCTTTTACTTTTCTTTCATTCTGTATGTCCTACTCTGTATCTGCTTGGTTGGTGGCTGCCTGGCCCCAGGCATGGCCCTCTCTTTCTCCCTTGTTCTCTCTCTCTTCTCTCAGTCTCCCTCCTACTTATTCTCTCTGCCTGCCAGCCCCACCTATCCCTCTAGCTATTGGCTGTTCAGCTTTTTATTAGACCAATCAGGTGCCTTAGGCAGGCAAAGTGAAACAAATGCAACATGTCTTTACATAATTAAACAAATGTAGCATAAACAAATGTAACACACCTTTACACAATTAAAGTAATATTCCACACACATGTATTTCTTTAAAGTTTTTTAGGTTATCACATACACGCCTTGGGTTTCATCCTGGGTGTTCTCAATTGTTCTTCCCACTCAGCTCCCAATGTGCTTCCCTTTTTTTCTCAGTAGCCCATTCAATGTTTTTTTTTTTCTTTTTTTTTCCTGTAATCTACTAGCCTTTTTGTTTCCTACCTATTTCCTTTTTTTGATAACCAATCTTTATATTTATGTATACTTATAAATATATAATTTAAGATGTATTTCCCCACACACACACACACACACACACACACACACACACACACATATATTTAAATGTTTCATACTTAAAGATTATATAATGCTAGGTGTGATAGGAAGATTTATACCTAAAAGGGGTAAATTTATTTCAGAACTTGGGTTTTAAAGGTGCATGCCTTGGTCATCGGGAGATGACCAGACCCCCAGAAGTCAGAAGTCCTGGAGAACCCTGGATTGCCACAACCATGTGTTTTTAGCAGCTTTAGGTGGGAGCTGGGCTCTGCATGTGCTGGGCTCTCTGCTTATTCTGCCCAGGTCACATTGTGGGCCCAGGAAAAGCCTAGCTGCCCTCTTAGGAGACAAGGGCAGAGCCAGTTAAGCATCTATGGGAAAGACTGATGACTTCACCCTCAGTGTGCCTGCACATCATTGTGTCCTGTCTTTTCCTTTGTAGGTAGCAGATGGAGCAAATGCCATTGTGCTGGGGACACTGGGAGACATTGCCCCCCCTCTTGCAATCATCGGTGGCAATTGTGCTCTTCAGGGTTTTGATCATGAAGGAAATGATCTCTTTTGGACGGTATGAAGAACTAAACACTTTGGTACTCTTAAGCGTTCCCACTCTTAATTTTGTCTAGATGTTTTTTAACCACTGATTACATTGAATAATACTTTCAAAAAACTGAATGGACTAATAGGGCTGGGGAGATGGCTCTGTTGTTAGAGTACCCTTCTCAAGCATGAAGACCTGAGTTTAGTCTTCTTCAGAACCCGCATAAAAATGTAGAGCCTGGCCACCTACACTTGTATCTCACAGCACTAGGGAGGTAGAGCCAGGAGGATTCTTGCGGTTTACTGGCCACCCAGTTAATCCAGGTAGGAGCTACTGGCCAGTGAGAGACCCTGTCTCAAAGGAAGTGGATAGAGTTCCTGAGGGTGACACCTGCAGTTGCTGTGACATCCCTAGGCATACATACACATATACATGTGTACCCATACCCACACAAGAATATAGAATATGCTCACATGTACATATACGCACAAAAGAAATAATTTTAAAAAAAAAAAGATAATGTATGTTAACTATAGGTAATGTTGAGAACTCACTGGGAGTTTATGTAAGCCTTCCCTTCATGTAGCTGATACTTTTGGATTAAATGAAAAAGGACAGTTTATTAATGACTTCCTGTTTTATTTTCAGGTTACTGGAGACAATGTTCACTCCCTGGCATTGTGTGACTTTGATGGTGATGGGAAGACAGAGGTGTGAGACAAAGCAGCCATCAGTGCTCTGTTGAGCCATCAGCTTCTCGTACTGTTTTTACATATAAGCTGACTGGTCTTCTCCCCTGTTCTTCCTTCCTGTCCCCCCGCCTCTCCTCTCTCCTCTGCTGCTCCTCTTCCTCCTCTCACTGTCTGTGTCTCTGAGACAGAGGAGCAGAGAAGGCAAAAGTTGATGAGACCTCCCGTATATTTCACAACCTTATAAACTGCTTCTGACACTTTGGAACATTAAGTCATTTTAATGTTGGCTGACAAAATTATTTCTTTTGACATTATTCTGATAATTATATGTTAATATAAGAAATCACCATAAGAACTCAGATCCTTGAGAAGTTGGCATGTATACAGTGGGCCCTAACTTAGCCTACTTTCCATGGACACTAGGCTCTGGTGTTTGAGACAGGGCTTTATCCTGAGTGTACTATGTCAGAAACATAGACAAAAATATGTGCCTTTCCACAATACCAGGATTTGTTAGATAACAATAAATTTACAGGGTGCCAAGGTTTTTATTAGCATCAGTTTTCAGGTGGTTCCACTTTACTTGCTAGCCCTGGCTGAGGCAAACAGACTTCTTTTACTCCAGTTGAGATTGCTAGTGTTGCTCTTAGATCACACATTGGACAGCACAGCATAGCTATAAATTCCACCCCCCCTCTGTCTGTCTGTCTGTCTCTCTCTCTCTCTCTCTCTCTCTCTCTCTCTCTCTCTCTCTCTCTCTCTCTCTCTGTCTCTCTCTCTCAGGCTAAAGGCCTGAGAGGCAGGGGAGCTAACAGATTTTTGAATAATCCCATCACTTGGGGAGCTGAGGTCCGATTCAGGAACTTGTGCAGCAGCTGCTACCACTATGCTGCCTGTTTGTCTGTCTGTCGGCTGAGTCCAGCTGTAGAGTCAGAGTCCGGCTGCAGAAGTGAAGGTCGTGGCCAGGGCTGGCAATGGATGTGCAGATGGAAGATTGCATCACTATTGGGAACTTAGCTGAGCTGAAACCCCTTAGCCAGTCAGGAGCATGACAGGTCTCTGTGCACCATGCAGGGTTAAGTGCCTGCCTCTTAGTGGGGTCCAAGTGAAGGAGCTGCACCCTTCCTCGGTCTGATAGGTCTGAGGCTGGTTTTCCTTATGTTTTTAATAATACAGCATGTGCCCCCCCCCCAGTCCTATTTTACCTCGGTAAAAAGGCAGCATTCTATTTCTAGAAATAAGTCATTTATCAGTGTGTGTAGCATGGATGGGTGCTCCTGGACAGATGGGACACTCATGTGTTTACCAAGGGTAAGCAGTTATGAAACTGGAGCACACAGCTGGAGCACACAGCTGGAGCACACATGCTCAGGAACACAGCCTGAGCATCACAGGCTTCCATCAGCAGCAGGGGGCGCTGCTGACCCAGGGAGGGAGCTTGTCCTGGCAGGTTTGCCCCTGCCCTGTGGGATTAGCCTGGTAGGGCCACTTTTTCTCTCAGATCAGTTACGAATCCCAATGAGCATTGGATTTCTAGAGGGCTGGAACTGGTTGGTAGCAATAGCTGCAAAGGAATGGCTTTTTTAATTTATGAAAAAACTTTGCTGTGTTTACACATTAAACTATGATCCTCCCTTCCCTTTCTCAGCTTCTTGTTGGATCTGAAGATTTTGACATCCGAGTTTTTAAAGAAGATGAGATTGTGGCAGAAATGACAGAAACAGAGGTAGGAACCGCTACTTCAGAGTGGTGACCTCAGGCTGTTAGAGCCAGAGGTGAACATCATTTTCACAGTCTGGGGTGCAGAATGGTGACCTTGGACCAGGTGGGGCGGCAGTGCACTCCGAGGAAACTGCTGGGCATCATCTCATAGCCCAGGGTCTTCAAGAGAAAAATGAGTTTTTTCTTATTTATGCATACTTATTACTATTATTTATTAATAATAGTAATATGTATTGTTATTATTATTACTATTATAGACAAGTTCTGACTGTGTAGTTCTGGCATGCCTGAAATTCTATATGTAGACTAGACTGGCCTCAAACTCACAGGTATCTGTGTGCTACCATGCCCCACAGTTTTTGTTTTTTTTCTGAGACAGTCTTATGAGGGTTTGACTGTTTCTGCCTCTTGAGTGCTGGGATTACAAGTGTGCACCACCCTGCCTGGCTCAGATTTGTACTAGTATGGACAAAGACGTGAAGGTGAGAAATGAGTGCAGAAAGCAGTAGTGTAAAGATGGGTCTGTAGAGGGACTGGGGAATGAATAGTTCACAGGAGTGTGCTTGTGTGAGTCTGTAGAGGGACTGGGGAATGAATAGTTCACGGGAGTGTGCTTGTGTGAGGAGTTTTCCCAGAGGGTGGATCCTTGCTGTCACTGGATTTTTGTTTGTTTTGTCTTCTGAGACAGGTTCTCACTCTGTAATGACCAAGGCTGGTCCAGAACTCACTGTGTAGCACAGGTTGACTTGGAATTCACGACAATTCTCCTGACTCAGCCTCCCAAGTGTTAAGATTACAGATGTGAGCCACTATGCCTGATTTTTCTAGATATTTTAAAAAATTATTTTACATCTGAGGGTATTTTGCCTACATTTAAGTCTATGGACCATGTGCTTGCCTGGTGCCTGCACAGGCCAGAAGAGGTTGTTGGATCTCCTGGAACTGGAGTTACAGATGGTTGTGAACCTCCACGAAGGTGCTGGGAATCGAACTTGGGTCCTCTGGAAGAGAGGCCAGTGCCCTTAATCATTCTTAGAGGGATTTATAGCCTTCCCCAAAGGCCCTCCACCTGCTCCTCCCCAAAAACCCAGCTTGATTATCACCCACTGGCCTGCCAGGGCTGGGTTGTGCATTATCATCTCTTTCATACTAATTTGTAATGAGTCTTTTCTGTTTGGTGGTAATTATTTGGAAGTGTTGGATTTCTGGTTTTGTCATTATTAGATGTGATGATAGAGTTCTTTGAAGGACATTTTCCTAAGTCATAGAAAAGGAGAGTGGAATATGGGATAGAGCCAAGAACCAGAGGGGACTAGTTGCTTCTCTGGTCTACAGAGGAAGAAAGGGAAACCTTCACTAAGGATCCTCTGTCTTAGTGTTACTATTGCTGTGATGAAACACTGGGGAGGAAGGGGTTTATTTGGCCATCCCTTCAGTCACAGTCCATTGAGGGAAGCCGTGGCAAGAACTCAAACTAGGCAGGAACCTAGAGGCAGGAGCTGATGCAGAGGCATGGAGGAACCGTGTTCCTCATGGCTTGCTCAACCTGCTTTCTTATAGAACTCAGGACCACAACCCAGAGATGGCACCACCCATAATGGGCTGAGCCCTCCCCCATTGATAACTAATTGAGAAAATGTCTTACAGGCTTGCCAACAGCCCCATCATATAGAGATATTTTTTCAATTGAGGTTCCTCTCCCATCAGATGACTCTAGCTTGTGTCAAGTCGACATAGAACTAGCCTGAACTCACAGGAGTCTGGAGCTAACTTTAAATTGTTCATTTGCAGCATCATTTTCTTGTCCTTTTGCCTTGCTGTTGGGTGGCTTTTCCTTGGATGTTTCTCCAGGTTTGACAGTACACAGTACACAGTACTAAGTATTGCAGGAGGGTGCTTTGAGCTAAGTAACCCTGGATCCTACACCATGCTTTGTATTCAGAGTTAAATGAGTGGGGGTTTGTGGAAAACTGTAGGTGTGAAGGAGATTACATAACCATTCTCCACTTTGTACTTAATATATTTGTACTGGGGCCAGGATTAGAAGTAGATCTCTAGGTTCAGAGGTCATTAAGCCCGATTCAGCATCACATTCTATCCTGTGACATGTGTGCAGTCCTTAGAAAGTCCTATAAACTGTGTGGTGTATGAATTTCTGTTTGTGGTTACACACCATATGAGTTTTGGAAAAGATTGTGCATTCTTTTATCTCAAACACACAATAAATTATGTTATAGAAGAAAGTATGCAGATAAAATCAGATGTAGGTTATAATTCTTTGTTTTGTTGTCGTTTTCTCAAAATAAGGTTTCTTAGTCCTGGCTGTCCTGGCACTCACTCTGTAGACCAGGCTAGCTTCGAACTCACAGAGATCTGCCTGTCTGTGCCTTCGAGTGCTGGGATTAAAGGTGTGTGCCACTGTCTGGCTGATTACAATTCTTGAACAAACTATAGTATAAATTAAGCTCGTCAGTCAGTACAATCCTTTGTGTTGATGTGTATAGCAGCATCTATTGTGTGCTTAGCCCATTTCCTTCCTAATTCGACACATCTGTTATTTTTAAAAATACTGTTCTGAAAATTGCTCCATAGCTTGCTCTAACTTTGTGAGTTTGTTTAAATGTGATTATCCAACTGTGAAGTAGACGACACTGATGGTAAAGAAGAGGACTCCTTTCCCAAGTAAGGGGTTCAAGTGCTGCTGAGCTGGGACTTTTCTTGGTGCTTGTCTTCTTGAAGGAAAGAATTCACTGTGAGGCCGAGTTCAAGTGGTTCAGTTGGCCAGCGAAGCAGAGCGATCTTGGGCTTGATGTTTTTGTGAATATTTCTGAGGTAGATGCCATATTTATGGATGTCGGGTGACGTTTCACCCCCTCAAACCATTATGGATCTCCCTTTTAGAGTATTTCATTTTATAACCCCCCCCCCACTGGACTAGAACTTGGAGCATTTGTCTTGCTTCAGCCCTTTTGTGATCATCTTGAAAAACCCAGAGTGTTTGGGGAGTGGGATTCAAAAACAGGGGTCTGTTTGGGAAGTGCCTTAGATCCTGACGGGGGAGAAGCTGCAGGCAGTTTCAAGGATGTTTACCCTCTAAGGGGCATTATCAGCTATTAGGATCCCCAGGCCTTAACTGCCTGTTGCTTTCAGAAGGCTTTCAGATCTAAAAACAGCCAACAAGGAGATACTTGACTTCCCCTGGGGAGTCTATCCCTATTCACTCAAGATTGAGAGGGCACTGACAGACCAAAGAAACCCTTCCACTTAAATATGGCTTGGTGAACCAATGAGTTGAATTGAGGCTACAAACATCACTGAAGAAAAATCTCTCTTCCATCACTTAATTGTTAACTCCATACATACACTTGGGGAAAGGAGAGGAGAGGCCCTGTGCCCCTTGTGAGCCTGGTGAGCCTTGTGAGCCTTACCCCTGCTTTCATGAGTGAATGTTGGGGGCCCCGTGATATGAGGGGCCTGTGTGAGTACTCACAGCTGTTCTGATTTAAAGATGGCAATGGCCATGTCATGCCTGGAGAACTGAGTTTCTCTGTATAGGCATGTGGTTTTATAAGGTTGCATGTGAAGTTAAGTTGAGCCTTACTGAACTCCTGTTTTCTTTTTGCAGATAGTCACCTCTCTGTGTCCCATGTATGGCAGTCGGTTTGGTTATGCCCTTTCCAATGGCACAGTTGGAGTTTATGACAAAATAGCCCGATACTGGAGAATTAAAGTTAGTACAGTTAACTACCTGCCACCCTCCACCCCACCCCTGTTCAGGGATTGTATACTTCTCCACGGAGAGACCACTTTACTAATTACTGAAATTCCTTTTCAGTCCAAAAACCATGCCATGAGCATTCATGCGTTTGACATTAATTCTGATGGTGTGTGTGAGCTGATAACTGGATGGTCTAATGGAAAGGTAAGTGTCCATTAGGAAGTGTATGGGTAACTCTACCTCTTAGTATTTAGGCATCTGTACTGGCCTGTCCTTGGGGTTCTGACAGGATAGGCCCTAGCTGCAGCCACCTGTGCATATTCACTATGTTCCCTTTTAAAAGGGTCCTGCCCACTTCTCTTTTTTTTTCCCTCTCTGTCCACCCTCACTTTCCCCCATTCCTCTCTCTCCCCCTCTTTCCTTTCTCCTCTCTCTTGCTGCTCCTGTCTCCGGAGGCCAGTCTCCTCCCTTCCCTTTTTATGAGTCCTTTTCCTAATAAAGACCCCTCTGCTTGAACCCTGTCACATGGCATCTTTCTCTTGCATGCTGCTTTTCTTAAGTTTTAACACTACCATCTGCTTATGGTATTGGCTGCATCATGTAGATGTAACCCTGAGTCTGTCTTTCCACGTAATTTCTTCCTGCTGTATGGTGATGTGTCCTTTCAGCCTTGTAAACCACACTTGGGAGAAAAATCTCCAGAGAAATTCTTTCTAAATCTCTTCTTTGAGGGAATCCATCCATCAGATTGATTGTAGGTGTAGGCCAGTATAAAGTTAATGATCTAATAACGAGCTGTGCGAATAGCTCTTTTAAAGCTAACTGGAAACTTTGAATTAACAGGAAGAATCATGTTAGAATATTGATTTCCCACCTGTAACTTCAAAATAAGATCCTTTGCTTGCTTGCTTGATTCCTTCCTTCCTTCCTTCCTTCCTTCCTTCCTTCCTTCCTTCCTTCCTTCCTTCCTCCCTCCCTCCCTCCTTCCTTCTCTTCCTCCCTCCCTCCCTCCCTTCCTTCATTCATTCCTTTCTTTATTCTTTAAGATTTTCTTATTATGTGTACAGTATTGTGCCTGCACGTATGCCTGCATGCCAGAAGAAGGCATCAGATCTTGTTATAGGTGGTTGTGAGCCACCATGTGGTTGCTGGGAATTGAACTCAGGACCTCTGGAAGAACAGTCAGTGCTCTTAACCTTGGAGCCATCTTTCTAGCCCCTCTTTTGCTTTCTTTACTTTTTCAACTTCAAATCAGAATTTCTTAGTGTTTTGGCAAGTCAAGGTTGTATCGTTAGTTTCCAGATCTCCATGGATACTGCTGGTACTCCTTTGTTAGGGTTGGACTGCCTAGGCCATCAGCTAATTCCTGCCTTTTCTTCTGTGCTCTCATTTACCTTTGGCCAGCACCTCTGTCTTCCAATTGATGTCACTTAAAAAGCAGCTCTTACTTGTCTGTTCCATCTTGTCCTTGGCTCTTGTAAGGGAAGACTATGTTGTCATTACTTACTAAGACATTTCAAACACTGATTATGTTTGTTCCGTTAGGCTGTGGTAACAAATAACATTACCTGGGTACGTTGCAAGCAGTGGGAATTCATTTCCTCTTCCTGGGTTGGGGACTCTAACATCTCAGTGCAGTAGGTTTGGTGTCTGGGGAGGGCTGCTTCCTTGTAGGTGGCTGTCTTCTCACTGCAACCTCACTCAGCAGAAGGCACTGCAGGATTTCCCAGGGAAGGGGGTGTTTTTAAAAATATCATTTATTGTTCTGTTTTTGAGATATGGTCTTGTTAATGTTGCCTAAGCTGGCTTGGGAAACTGTACAGCCCACACTGCTTTCAACCCCCCCCCACCTGCTAGGATTCTAGGTGTGCACCACCACACCTGGATTTTGGGGCATTTTACATGAGCACTAATCCCACACGAGGGTACCTTCCAATGGTACTATAGTACCATCTTGTGGGTAAGGTTACAATGTATAAATTTTGGGGAGAAGCAAACATTAAGATCCTAGCCAACTCCATTCTTGGGGCACAGAAATTATGGTTGAGTCAAGAATTTGGAGGTATTACCAAGAGCCAGACATAGTGATATGTGCTTATAATTCTTGCACTTAAGAGGTAGATGAAGGAAGATCTTGAATTCAAGCCAGCCTGGGCTACATAATGAGACTATCTCACAAAGTGAAGGATGAAAGATACCTTGAGATGGCTAGACCATATGCAGCTGAGGATAACCCTGCGTGGATCCTCCCGAGTGATAAGTAAATTGTAAAGCTAGCCTTTTTTGTTGCTGTTGTTTTTAAACTATAGGATAAGTGACTTTTATGTTCTTCTTTTATTTTCAGGTTGATGCTCGAAGTGACCGGACTGGGGAGGTCATATTTAAAGACAACTTTTCTTCTTCGATTGCTGGTGTGGTAGAGGGAGATTACCGGATGGATGGCCATGTACAATTAATCTGCTGCTCAGTGGATGGGGAAAGTAAATTGGGATAAGAAAAATCCTTGAAAAGTCAAAATTTCAAAAGCAGAAGTGGCTGTGCTTAGGGTCTTGTCCTCTGTTCAGTCCGAGGCTACCTGCCAGGCACAGCTGAGATGAAGGGGCACCTCCTGGACACAAGTGTGGAGCAGGACCTGATCCGAGAGCTGAGTCAGAAGAAGCAGAATCTCTTGCTGGAACTCCGAAACTATGAGGAGAACACCAAGGTGCGGCTCTGCGGAGGGGGCGTGGAGTCTGACAATGCCAGGACTAGCCAGAATGGTTTGCACATGTGGGAGAGGGCCAGGGTCAGTGCTGGGCCCTCTTGGCCACCTGCAGACGTGCAGATTGCTTCAGCCTTTTGGCCACTGCTAGAATAAAGAAGCATGAGAGCTGGGCATGGTGGCACATGGTGCAATCCCAGGACTCAGAGGCTGAGAGGAGCCTCCTGAGTTTAGCCCAGATTACATGTCTCAAATAAAGGACACAGAGGTTTGGCTCCCACCACCTACAGCAGGCGGTTCACAGCTGCCTGTAACTCCAGCTTTAGGAGATTCTCTGTCCTCTCTGGACTCACCAGACATTGCACTCAAACGTCCACAGACCTCCCCTGCCCCACACATAGTCACCTAGTTAAAATTTAAACTAAAATGTCTTTAAGCGGAGAAATAGAGATGAGAGAGAGAGATAGACAGACTGGCACATTTGTAAAGGACATGATGAGATGCAGTGGACACAGATGGGGACAAGGCATGGCTATTTCTCACAGAGCCAGATACAACAAAGGAGTACTAACAGGCTGAGCGGGTTTTAGAGGAGTCACAAAGACCAGATTGGTAGGGGAGGGGAAGTCTGTCCTGAAGCTAAATAGCTGTAGTATTTAACTTGGACTTTCCTTCTGAGAGTGACTAAACTGAAGTTGGGGGGTGATGTTTTACAGGCAGAACTGAGCAGTCCCCCGAATGAGGCTGACGGACAGAAAGGCATAATCCTAGCCAATACCAAGCTCCACACTGCCCTCTCAGTCAATCTGGGGAATGATACACAAGAAGCCCATGCAGAATTACGCATTTCCACTTCCAATGGTAAGACACTACTATAGATGGTTCTGGTCGGTGCCTGTGCTGCCTTGGAGTAGTTCCTAAAATGTCATTTCTTTCTCTTCCCAGATACCATCATCCGAGCAGTATTAATTTTTGCAGAGGGAATTTTTGTGGGTGAAAGCCATGTGGTTCACCCTAGCACTCACAACCTTTCTAGCTCCATCCGTGTCCCAATTACACCTCCCAAAGATGTCCCTGTGGATCTGCACTTGAAAATCTTCGTGGGTTACAGAAGCAGGTGACCCTTTTTGTCACAGGTTACTTCCATAGAGACTTACGAGGGCAAGATGGGTTGGTTTGCTATTACAGTTACCCTCTGTCAGACCAGAGACGCCATTGAAGGACCTGCCCACAAGCCAGGCTTTCCCCATGACCTTTTATTTTCCTAATTTGAATTCTTTCTAAAGAAAAAAGAGGCATGTAAGTTTCAGAGGGTTATTTTTAATTTTTTAATCAGATGATCTCAGGGACACAAACACTTTCACTACTTGCTTGAGTTTTGATGAAACTCAGTGGTAGAATTTATGCTTAGCATGGGTTTGAGCCTTGGGACCACACATGGAAGAATAATTTGATAATCAGTTAAATGTAGTTTGGCCACTAACACTCTGAGGGGTGGGAGATGTTTGTATGAGGTGCAGCATTGGAGCTAGTGGGAAAAGCCCACTACACTTGTTGAAGATAAAGACCTTTTCATGCTGGGCATGGTGGTGCAGGCTTGTGATCCCACTGAAGCAGGAGGATCAGAAATTCCAGGCCAGCCTGGACTACAGGAGAATTCAAGGCTATACTGGGCAACTTATGAGACCCTGTTTCATAAAAATAGCATCAACAAAATTTGTCAATAAAAATCAAAGGCTTTTTTTTATTCTCTCAGGATGTTATAAAACCTTGGTGCATAAATGTGTGAATACGTGGACGACTTACATTATTTCTAAATCTCAACCCTATTAATTGCTACAGAATTTTAACCCTCAAGTTTTCCTCTCTTTGTTCAGTGTAACCGTAGATATCAGTTGGTGGTGACCCAATAGTGAGTTTATTTTCTGGGCCCTTACTTTGAAATAGCACAGTTTTGAGTCAGGCATGGTGGTGTATTGTAATCCTAGTACTCGGGAGGCAGAGGTAAACAGATCAGGAGTTCAAGGCCAGGCTGGACTACATGAGACCCTGTTTTAAAACTGCAGGGGTGGGGAGTACAGATTAATACTACACCAAACACTTCTCTTGTGTTCATTGTTGGCTATAGCACCCAGTTCCATGTATTTGAATTGACAAGACAGATCCCCCGATTCACCATGTATGCGATGACCAGCCCAGATTCGGCTAGTGAGCCCGCCAGTTACGTGAACTTTATCATTGCAGAGAGGTCACAGAGGGTGAGTAGTGTGATCTTTTTTTTTAGTTTGTAGTTTGCACTTTAGAGTCCTTTTAATGTCACTCTGTAGAAGGGAGAAATGTGACTGTCATGCTGGTAGCAGTGAACAGGAACTATGTGGTGTGGAGTTTTCTAAGGAACTTTTAAGCTTTATTATTTGTGTGTGTGTGTGTGTATTTATGATTGTGTGATATATCTGTACATGCCATGGTGTGAGTGTGATGGTCAGAGGACAACATTTATGTAGTTAATTCTCTCCTTCCTCCATGGCTTCTAGGAGTCAAACTCATGTCATCAGGCTGACATGGTTTACTGACTGAGCCATCTTGCCGGCACTGGCTAATAATGTTTAATAAAACATTACTGGTTTTAGGTGTGGTAGCATAGGCCTGTCTGCAATTCCAGAACTTCAGAGGCAAGAGGGTTATGAGTTGAGAACAGCCTTGGCTATGTCATAAATCCCAGGCCAGCCTGGGCTGAATTGTGAGACTCTGTCTCAAAAAAGCTCAAAATTCACTCACACATTTCTTCTTCTGAACTCTGAAAGTCACACACACACACACACACACACACACACACACACACACACAAACACATACACACACACACTTCCCCTCACCAGTTACAATAGATTTTTCCTATTCTTAATTTTCCTCCTTTCATTTGTTATGGTATTAGTTGTCTTGACTTCGTGTTTCAAGAGAAGCCTTGGATGAAACGGAGAGAGGTTTAGGGTAGCACTGTGCATCTGCATTCCCAGCTCCTTGCAAGAAGGAGATCACTTGAGCCCAGGAATTCCTGACCAGCCTGGGCTGCATAGTGAAATGTCTCAAGGAGAGAAGATGCAAAGAGGATTTGGAGGTGGGGACATTTTAGCTTAACTGCTACCTTAACTACATTTTTAGTGATTTGAAGACTTCCCTTCACCACTTTCAGTTTCCTTATCTATAATGTATTGTCTACTTCATAAGGATCCCTGAAAGATTCCATGACTGGTGTAAAATGCCTTATAAGCTTAACATCTGTGGCAGTGGACTGTAACTGTGGCTGCGCATCAGAACTCTTTCTTCTTATTAATACAGTACTTGCTTGTGCTTTCCCTGTCAAACCTGAGCCCATACTTCCTGGGGAAGTACAGGAAGGGGAATTCTTTCCTGGTAGTGGGACTGCAAGCCACTGTGAAGTATTACCACCAAACTGTATGCAGGTAACGAGTATCTGAGTGCACCTGTGTACTTAATCAAAAACAGTCACACAGTGGAGTGGAGCAGCCCTGTGTAGACAGTCCTGTCTACCTACAGAAAAACTCAGATAAACAGAAACTGCGCCTGCTACAGTCCTCTATACTACATGTAAGATTATGTCTAAGGAGGATGTACCCTCCAGTTGAGCTTGCTGTGGGACCAGCCGTAAGTATGACTGCTGCTGAAGACCAGCACTGAGGGAGAAGGGAGTATGATTCTCACGCACTTGACCTGTGTGTAATTGTTTTTAAACTGTTCCTTCCACAATGACTGTACTTTAAAAACTGAAGTGCACTTTGTTCTATTCACTTTATAGATGGTCACTTGGCTCAACCAGAACTTTCTGTTGCCAGAAGACAATAACATTCAGAATGTCCCATTTCATGCCTGTTTCACATCTTTACGAAACGGTGGCCAGCTCTACATAAAAATAAAATCAAGTGGTGAGGTAATGTGTGGTGCCATGAGCATAGGCTTCTGCTATGCTTCTGTTGGACTATCCATGTGCAAAGTGAAACACACTGTCGAGATCACAGAAGCAAGTTTCCCAACCCAGTGTATCAGTGTCATTGAAGACCCCGGGGGTTCACTCTAGTGCAGCAGTGTTCTGTATCCTTCTTTGCTTTCATTCCTTCTATATATAATTTGGGAAGAATTGGTGTTTCAGTTGATTTTTTGTTACCATGACAAAATATGCTGGCAAAAACAATCTAGAAGAGAAAGGATTTGTTTTGTTTTAGTTCCAGGCCACAGTCCATTGTGTGGAGCAACGTTAACACAACTGGCCACATTTACATCCCCAGGCAAGACACAGAGGAAGAACTAACACACGCTGCCCTTTCTTTTTCCTTTAGCCCAGGCCCCAGCCCATGAACTGGTGCTGCCCACATTTCAGGGTGTGCCTTCCCACTACAGTTAACCCGACGGAGGAAATCCCTTGTAGGCATGCCCACAGGCTCTCCTGTCCAGACTCCTAAAGTTCCTTTCCAGTTGATTCTGGATTGTGTCGAGCTGACAATTAAAAATAATGGTGAGGAGCAGGGTGTGGTGGTTCAGGAGGCAAAGGTAGGTGGATCTCTGTGAGCCCAAGCCTGGGCTATCTCAAACAAACAAGCAAACTGTGATGGCTGGGAATATAGAGAGGCACTATTCTGTAAGGTCCATTATAGCTGTGCTTTTTTAATAATTGTTTTTTATTTTGAATGAATAAGTTTGTTGAGTATGTAGCAAGCAAAAGTGGGACAATCAGTAGCAGGCAGCAGAGAGAGCAGTAAATGGTAACAAAACATCAGATCAGGAGTTTACAACATCCAGCAGAGATGAGTAGAGTAGCTGTTTGAGAGAGCATATCAAGGTAGTACCATCAAATGGATGTAAGAACATCCAGCAGACATCCACTGGAGAAACTGAGGCAGTTAGTTGCCGTTCCTGATTGAACGTTCCCTCTTTGATTGATGTCCTCATTGTGTTGCCTCCAGCTTCCATAACCACTGAAGGCATTTTTCTGTCATTAGACAGAAACAGAAAAATGTCAGAAATCACTTATTTTCTAGCTGTTCACAAGGATGCCATCTTTTTCCTGTTGAGCTGTTTGCTATGTTTCTCTTGGTAACAAAGGCAGGTGCACTGGTGTGACCTATAGTCCCAGCCATTTGGGAGGTTAGGTTTGAATGGCACAGAATCGTTTTAACTGTTTGACTAATGTTGCATTTCGCTTATAAGGGCAGAGGAGTGACCTTTTAGCCAGCTGCAAGTAATAATGACTATGGTTTATAATTTCCCCAAAACAGCCTGACTTTATCACTACACAGAAACAAATCCTCAAGAATGGTGTGTGGGCAATAGTGGCATTGCCTTTAGTCCCAGCACTCAGGGGGAGGCGGGCCAGAGGCAGGCAGATCTCTGTGAGTTTGAGGCCAGTCTGGTCTACATAGTCAGTTCTAGGACAGCCAAGGCTACACAGAGAGACCCTGTCTTGAAACAAAACAAAACAAAACAAAACAAAAAAAAAAAAAGAAGAAAGAAAAAGAAAACCGAAATCAACAAAACAAAACACCCCCCCCAAACCAAAAACAACAACAAAAGAATTTTGTGGACCCTGGAGAAAGTCAGGTGCTGTTACTCATCTGTGTGTGAGGGTGCTAAACTTGTCCTTTTCCCCTGGGTAGGTCACTGTCAATACTGATGATATTGATCTGGCTGGTGATATCATCCAGTCGATGGCATCCTTTTTTGCTATTGAAGACCTTCAAGTAGAAGCAGATTTCCCTGTCTACTTTGAGGAATTACGAAAAATACTGGTGAAGGTGAGACCATGGCAGCCTCAGAGCTGGAAATACTTTTCTTAAAAAAATGAGAGAAGATGTGCATGTGTGCATGCATGTACCCATGCATACCTGCATTGCATAGGCTACATGATTATCATGTTCTAAAGAATTCTGTAAACCTTAGATGACCATTGGTGAATTCCTTAAGTGGGGTTCTGTAAAAGTGGCCACCTCTCCAGCCCATGTGTTTCCTGGGTCCAGAGGATTCTCTTTCAAGCACGCATCCCATCGCTACTTTCTGTCCATCTAATCCGCCGTTTCCACTTTGGTCTTGTGATCATTGCTTTCTAAAACCCAAATTCAAAATTGAAAAAGAAAAAGAGTGATTATGGTCCGTTGCAGGGTGAAACGTCACTTTTGGGGTGGGGCTACAGCTTCGTGGTGGAGCACGTGGTGCCCAAGGTTCAGTGCATAGTATTACACTGCCTCCTCCTACGGAGAAGACCCTCACAGAAACCAAAACCCCACCGTTATCACCAGGAATCACTAAAACCTTATGTATGTTGCTTGGACTCTTGATGCTGACATAGGAAGGTCTAACCGTGGGTATCATCATTAAAAGGAGATGAGTGTAGAGGTACTTAAGAAGATCTAACTAAATGGGGAGGAGGGAGGAATCCCTGTGTATGGCAGGCAGTGTCTTAGTTTTCCAGGCTCTCAGGAGCATATGAAGCCTTATTAATGTCTGAGTGCTCTTGGTCTACAGGTGGATGAGTACCATTCAGTGCATCAAAAGCTCAGTGCCGACATGGCTGATAATTCTAATCTCATCAGGAGTTTGCTTGTCAGAGCTGAGGATGCGCGTCTGATGAGGGACATGTGAGTATTTGCCATAGCTGGGCCAAGTGCAGAGTCAAAGGAGAGCAGTGAGGGGCAAGGGCTGACATGCTGCGGGGTGGAGTCTAAATGGATTCAGTTACTAAGTTGGCATTATTGGTAAGGCTGAAAATGTACTCTGTGATCCAGCAATTGCGCTTTAAGTGTAAGGCTTAGAGAAATTTGTGCTCATTATAGCTAGCATATTTACACAATATTCATAAAGACATTGTTTATAAAAAAAATCTTGTATTTGTCTGCTTCCCATTGCTATAACAAAATGCCTAAGACTGAATAACGTATAAGGAAAGGTGGTTTATTTAGTTTTTGGAGACTCAAAGTCCCCATAATGCTGCCCTGGTTCTGGTGAGGGCCTTCCTGACTGTATTGCCAGGTGGTGGATGGCATCACGGCATGGTGCATGAGCAGGAAATGCATAGCAACCCTGCAAGCAGACAGACTGATCTTTTTCTTTTATAGCAGCTCTCTTGAGAAAAATAACTAGGATCCAATGGGACCTCCTTAATTCTTTTCAAAGGCAGCATCCTTCATGGCCTAATGACCTTGTACTATAATCTTTAAAAGGTCCTACTACCTCTTAATATTAACACACTAAGGACCCTTGGAGGGCACACTTAAACTGTATCAAAATCATAGCAAATCCCCAAATGGAAATCCAAAGTAACATCAACAGTAATGGAGGTTATGAGATTCATCAGTAGAGCAATGAGTTGAACCACATGAAGAGTTAAGAATGAAAATCTGGTGCAGATTGGCTTCGTTAACTTAGATCAGACTTCGGGGAGACAGGTAGTTCATTGTCAGCATATTTAAAACACAGTACAGTTTGGGGTAAAGGTTTCCAGACAACACTCAGTCCAATCAGTCCAATTCAAGGTACACGATAAAGCTGAAGGTGTGACTACATAAAGACGCCTTTACAAAGTACATGAGACCATGAGGATGGGATCTGTAGGTAAAAGGCCTAGACTCTAGCGTGGTCTCTGGCCGATAGCATATAGGTCAGCAGGCCATAGAGTACGTGTGACATCTCCCCTAAGGATGGGTCTAGGGAGGAAAGAGTCTGAGACGATCAGTCTGAGGAATTGGGGTCTGTCTCTGTAGCAAAAGATGGCTGAGGTCTGTCACTTCCTAGAGCAAAGAGGTCACCAGGTCGTTAACAAAATCCACTCTTGGCTTTCTGGATGGAATGCAGGCAGGTATTTGATTTTATCTCCTCGATTGAGAAGGCGCCCTGTGTAATTAGCATTCCTGATTCTCTTAGTGCTTCTCTGTGAGCACAAGGTCCTCTGTGCCCCCAACAATTAGTAGCTCCCCATTTTCCCCCCTCTCCCCAGCTCCCAATCTACTTGTTGATTCTATCGTTTTTTTTTTTTTTTTTTTTTTTTTTTTTTTTTTTTTGGCAGTTTTATAGATTCCTCATAGAAGTGGCATCATGTAGAATTTGTCATTTTGGGGTTGGCTTATTTCATAGATTCTCAAAGTTCAACCCCATTGCATCTTACAGTTTCCTTCTTCTTGGATGCTGAGTAAGCTGTTTTTCTCTCATCGCCTATGGGCTTTCTCACTGTGTGTTGCTTTGTAAACCGGCATTCAGGGTGCTAGCCTTTGAAATCCTGATCGAATTCTTCAGGATAGTAACCCAGAAGTAGGCTGCTGGACCACACAGTACTTCTGTTTTCAGTATAGGTTTTGTGAGGCTAGCCTCACACTCAGTCCTCCTGCCTTGGACATCCTGTGAGGGACAGGGGTTGGAGGGGGTGTGGGTGTGGCAGGGGCTGGGTGAAGGTGGGGGTGGGACTACAGGGCTGCTCATGCTCATCCTCCTTAGCCACTTGAGCTTGTTTGCTCTTGGCAACTTTGGTGATTCAAATTCTGGAGAAAAGGCATTACTAGTTTTAAATTTATTTATTTAGGATTTTTATTTATTTATTATGTATACAACATTCTGCTTCCATGTATATCTGCACACCAGAAGAAGGCACCAGATCTCATAATGGATGGTTGTGGGCCACCATGTGGTTGCTGGGAATTGAACTCAGGACCACTGGAAGAGCAGTCAGTGCTCTTAATCTCTGAGCCAGCTCTCCAGCCCTAGTTTTAAATTTATTAATTTTGGAAGTGACATTAAAATGGTGTTATGCTAGCCCGGTATACATGATGAGATAGCTTTTCCTTCTAGTCCTGTTTCTCAGGAGTGCTCTGAGGCTTCTTTCGTTTTGGTATCAGCCACTTGGCGGTTTTTGTTTTTGACTTGTCTCTAAAACTGTTCTTGTGCTGAGCAGCAGACCAGATGGTGGTGGTGAAGCATGCCTTTAATCCCAGGAGGCAGAGGCAGGTGGACTGAGTTCAAGACCAGACCAGAGTGAGTTCCGGGGGACATCCAGTCTGTCTTAAAATAAATAAATAAAACAAATAAATAAATAATAATAATTTCCAGATGTGTCCTATAAATTGAAGTAAGAGTTTTGCTTTTGATGGCCAACGACTTCTGAGTCTCCAGTTTATGCTTTTGTTTGTCTGATATTGATGTCCTTAGCATTTGGTTTTGCACAGTTGAGGCTCCTGGAGGAATGAAGTGTCCACAAACTTCCATGTTCTTCTCAGAATCATCTGTGCCTTTCTTGCAGTATCTCTTATTCTCTCTCTCTCTCTTACACATACACACACATGCACTCATGCATGTTTTAATTTATATAAATATAGATGACATATAGCTTGTAATATTCATATAGAAAATAATTCACAGAAACTTCTCTGATTACTGCTAAAATCAAGATGTGGGATGTTTATTCCTTTGGGCCTGTGTTGGATACCTTTTCCTCTTCTCCAGGGAGTTTTACCTTTTCTTCATACCATCACATCACATATAGCTTTTTTTTTTTTTTTTTGTTTTTTGTTTTTTGTTTTTTGTTTTTTCAAGACAGGGTTTTTCTGTATTGCTTTGGAGGCTATCCTGGAACTTGCTCTGTAGACCAGGCTGGCCTCAAACTCACAGAGATCAGCCTGCCTCTGCTTCCCCAGTGCTGGGATTAAAGGCGTGCGCCACCAATGACTGGCTCAACACTTCTGTTTAAGGGAAAAAAAATCCTTCAGTTCCTTTTCTAACCTTGCTACATACTTAACTGTATAAACCAGCAGTCCTATTCCAAGAGAAGTAATGTCTAAGCAAGGCAGTGGTGGTACAGAGGCAGGCAGATCTCTGAGTTAGAGGCTAAAGAGTGAGTTCCAGGACAGCCAGGGTTACACAGAGAAACCCTGTCTCAAAAAATTACATGTATACAAAAACCCTGTATGAAAATATAACCAACCAACCAAACAAAAAACCCAGAAGTTGTGGAATATTATTTTAAGATTTGTTACATTTGATTATGCTGTGGAACATTTGTTTTAATGATGAAAAGATGTGCTGCATTCTTTTATGTTGCATTTGTTTAACTGTGAAGCTGTGTTACTTTGCCTGTCTAAACACCTGATTGATCTAGTAAGACCTGAAAGGCCAATAGCAAGGCAAGAGAAAGGATAGGTGGAGTTTGCAGGCAGAGAGAATAAATAGGAGAAATCTGGAAGGAGATCAAGGAGTGAGAAAAGAAGGGGCCAGGCACCTAGTCACATAGCCAGACACGGAATAAGGACAGAAAAGATACACAGAAATAGAGAAAGGTAAAAAGCCCAGAGGCAAAAGATAGACCTGATAATTTAAGTTAAAAAAAAAAAGCTGTCTAGAAATAAGCCAAGGCCAGGCATTCATAAATAATAAGCCTCCATGTATTTATTTGGGAGGTGGGTGGTAGCCTCCCCCAAAAAAGAGCCAAAAGAGTAAAAACAAACAACTACACAGAAGTATGGAGAAAACTAAAGGTGCATTATATTATAAGAAGCTGCCAAGTTGGCAGAGAAACTACCATTTTTGTATTCAGCACTGCTCTGAGTTCCAGTTCAACAGTTTTACTTAAATCATTTTCATTGTTGTATAGGAATATTGTTGTATTTTTAATTTTTTTCTTTTACATTCATTTCCCTTTGTGTGTGTGCATGCTACTGTGTGTTGTGTAGAGGTCGGAGGACAACTTGAATAGCTGGATCTTCTATCATGTGGGCTCTGGGGATTGAACTCAGACTATCAGGCTTGGTAGCAAGGAGCTTTCTCCACCGAGTCATCTCACTGGTCCGTGTGTTTCTAACTTTATAAGTCTGAGTCTGTTCTCTAGAAATATTTTATTAACAGGCCTCCTTATCTAATAAGTTACTAATTACTAAGCTTAAAGTCAGCTACTGCCTTGCTGACTTTCCCCTACTCACAGCCCAGGGGGGTGAACTCTAAATCTGAGCAAACCATGGACCATTACTCAGAAAGCTTGCTTGTTTTCTATTATCTGGAAGAAAAAGGACAGTTTGATGATAACTTTTGGATGTTTTCAAAGCAAATCTCAGTCAGTTAGTGTGTATTAATGAAAATACAAAAAGGTGTCTTTTTCCTTCCTTCCTTCCTTCCTTCTGTTTTTCTGAGACAGCATCTCACTAATGGCTCAGACTGGCTTTGAACTTACAGTCTCCTTCAGCCTGCCAAGTGCTGGATTTAACAGATGTGTGTCATCGTGCCTGACTGTTGTCTTTCTTTCTTTCTTTCTTTCTTTTTCTTTTTTCCTTCTCCCCCCCCTTTCTATGTGACTAAAAATCTGTTAAGTGTTAATGTTAGATTTCTACTGATTTACACAGGAAAACAATGAAGAATCGTTATATGGAACTCTATGACCTTAATAAAGATTTGCTAAGTGGATATAAGATTCGATGTAATAACCACACAGAACTGCTAGGAAACCTGAAGGCAGTGAACCAAGCCATCCAAAGAGCAGGCCGTCTACGTGGTGAGTCTTTCTTGGCACCGCGATTTGTCTGTGATGTTTTGAAAGATGAGGATTATGGAAGATTGTGGATGCATTATAAAAACTTACACTGGGTCCTAAAGTAGCCTGCCTTCAACACCCTAGAGCCGGCTGCACCCAGGTTTCTCCCACTCAGACTGAGGACTCTAGTTTTCAACAGAGAGATAAAAAAAAAAAAAAAAAAAAAAAAAAAAAAAAAAAAAAAGCCTTGTGGGGCATGGTGGCACAGGCCTTTAATCCCAGCACTTGGAAGGCAGAGGCAAGCAGATCTCTGTAAGTTGGAGGCCAGCCTGGTCTACAAAGTTACGTAGAGAAACCCTGTCTCAACGCCCCCCCCCCCAAAAAAAAGAAAATTAAACACAAAAGAAATAAAGACCCAAGTTCCTTTTCTAAGATCTTGCTGTAGCTGCTAAAGTAGTGATTCTCAACATGTGGGTCACAACCCCTTGACCCTTTTACAGGGATTTCGTATCAGATATCAGATATTTACATTACTATTCATAATAGCAAAATTAGCCATGCAGTAGCAATGAAAATAATGTTTGGGCTCAAAACATAAGGAACTATATTAAAGGGTGGAAGCATTGGGAGGTTGAGAACCACTGTTGAGAAAACTTAAGTGTTTATAATCCTTAGGAAGTAAGTAGTCTTAAATTAGAGGAAAAAAAAAGACTGAAAAGAGGCAAGTGTCCATTTTGGAAGTGTAGACAACCATAGGCCAACCCACATGAAGCAGAATACAGCCAGAGAGCTGCTGCTGTTTTGGATCAGTGCTTCAACCCCTGAGTCTTTGCTAGGAATGAGAGAGCTCTGATTCATCTCTACAAACTTGCTTTGTTTCTGGCTTGAGATGATCTCCAAGTTTGTTTGTAATAAATTCTGTCTTTTCTAGGAGGTAACAAGTTAGTAAAATTTGTATATGTAACTCATACAACTCTTTTCTACCCTGGTTTTATGCTGTCTTCAAACTTGCCTTTAATTTCTGTTTTTGGTTGAGACATGGTTTCTCTGTGTAGCCCAGGCTGTCCTGGAACTTGCTCTGTAGACCAGGCTGGCCTCAGACTCAGATCTGGCTGCCTCTGCCTCCCAAGAGCTAGGATTAAAGGTGTGTGCCACTATGCCTGGCTTGATTTTAACTTCTAATTTCCCTTTTGGGACACACTGACATGAGGTTTTTTTTTTTTTTCTTACACAGTTGGAAAACCGAAGAACCAGGTAATCAGTGCTTGTCGGGATGCGATTCGAAGCAACAATATCAACACACTCTTCAGAATCATGAGGGTGGGGACTGCTTCTTCATAGGAGAGCAAAGCCAAGGAAGGAAGCTCCTGGAAAAGGTTATGTCTAGAAATCCAGGCTGATTTGCTCACAGTCACAACCTGGTGAATCCAGGCTGCTAAGAATGAAAACTATGGTAACCTATGACTAAGGACAGGTGTTCCATCTGACAGTCAAAGTCTCCTTTTATTTGACATCCATAGTACCACTGCTGATTTGTATGAAATGGTATGACTACCTTAAAATATCAGGGTATCAGAGTGTAGCTTGGTTTTTTATATGAAGTTAGTATATGAATTTATCTCCTTCCCCCTTGAAATTGTAATTGAAATTTAAAATTTGAAATGGAGTATTTACTTTTTCATTAAAAATAAAAGATACTGGTCCTTGTTGTTGATTATAAATTACCATAAAGAAATGCACAAAACATCTTTATTTTGTGAAATTTAAAATTTCAAGGGTGTGTGTAAACAAGTTTATGTTAAGGAAAAACACATTTCAAGGTGGTCTAACAGGGTGGCATTAGCTGCAATACAGATCTCCAAATGCACCATTGGCTGCTTGTTTTCATTCATAAGGTCCCTGAAAGAGACTTGCTTAAGGAACCATCTCATTCTTGTATGTAGTGGTGGCTTTAGGGCCCTGCCTGCAAGGCTGCCCTAGGACCTTGTATCTACCCAACAAGAGAAAGGGAAGAGAGAACAAAGAGGAATCATACTTCCTGACACAGTGCAGGGTAGCCACGTTGATATACTCAAGCAACAAGTGGTTGTCACAGGATGAGATTTCAACTGATTTTTGTACTTTTCAACATTGTTTTAATTTCTCAATAATGACCGTGCATATTTATATAGTCTGAAAAGACAGAAAGCTGTTATCTTTGGAGGGAAATCCACCTTGAGGTAAAGGAATTACAGGAAACTGGAAGTTCACAGCTGGACACCGTGGTGTACTTCTGTAATCTTAGCAGTTGGGGAGCTGGGGTATACACCAATAAATAAAATAAAGAGTTAGAGGCTCACTGTTAAGAACTAAAAGAAACATGTCATTGGTTACACAGAAAGTAGCAGAGCTTTTATCAGGATGAGGTATTAAGAGTCCACATTTGATGCTTGCCCTATGCCCAAAGCATCAATCAGTTAGGATCAAGAATGAAGCAGAGTAATGAGCTGAGGCAAACTCATTGTACATATCTGACAGTGTACTTGGACAAACAAGGCGGAAGCTTTCAGGCTTCCAACCTGTACAGCATGTTAAAAATACTCTATATTCAATAGCCTTAGCTTATGTGATAGAACTCCTTTATTTTAAACTATAATTTTTACAATTTTGACTTATAACACTTTACATTGTATAACTGTACAAAAATATTTCCTTCAAGTTATTTTCAAATCTTTTTAAAAAAAACTTTCTGAAATTTCTGTTAAAAACTAAGACACACACACTGGCTCAGGCCCACACACTTAGGATTGTCATCATCATCACTGCCTTCCCCCTGTTCTGCTGTTCTTCTCTTCTGTTCTACTGTGGTCTTCAGCGGCAGTAATATGCACAGAAATGCCAGCCCCCCAAACCATGGAATACCTTGTGAAGAACCTGCCTGAAGCCACATGGGAGTTAATGCCTTAGCACCAGTGCACTCTGTGCAGGCAGTGTGTGACAAGCACACAAAAATGGTGACCTGCTATTAACAGTTCTTTGCACAGCTGCATGTGCTGTACTCTCATGGAGTGGCAGCAAAGGTGTCATCACCATGATCACGAGCGATTGGGAGTATAGGAATCTTTCAGCTCTTGCGGGCCCACTGTCATACGCCATTCATCTCACTGAAACATCAATGATGTGGCACATGACAAATGAAGAAAAGCAACTGTGTCATCAGAGCAAGAGGCAACCCGCAGGTCCTATTGCTCTTGCAGGCCTGGAGGCTCTGCAAAGACACAAGGACCCTTCAGGGTTCTTTCCATTCAGGCATTTCAACTCAGTCTTGTAAAGGTCCTGCTGTGGTGACAGACCATAAGCATATGGAGATAAAGGAGACAGATTAAGATTCAGACATAGGGGCTGGAGAGATGGCTCACAGGTTAAGAGCACTGACTGCTCTTCCAGAGGTCCTGAGTTCAATTCCCAGCAACCCCATGGTTGCTCACAACCATCTGCGATGAGATCTGGTGCCCTCTTCTAGTGTGCAGACATACATGGAAGCAGAATGTTGTATACATAATAAATAAAATCTTTCAAAAAAAAAAGATTCAGACATAGGTCTCCAGAACTGGAAAGGCTGGCTGGTGTTGGATAATGCTAAGAGATGTATGCTTTGGCTCACACGATGCTTTCATTATCTAGCATTTTCCCCTGGGTTTTCCTGGAGTCAATCCACAGACAAAATGTTAGCTAAACTCATTCTTTCTCCCCCATTCATGAGAATACACAAAAAACTAAGGGAGCTGGATATAGTAATATACTGCTGTAATCCTACTACATAGGAGCCTTGAGTTTAAGGTCAGCCTGGCCTGCAGAGTGAGTACCTGTCTCAGAAAACAAACAAACAAACAAAAAAACAAAACAAAGAAAAAGAAAGTAAGAATGACTGGAGGTGTAGCAAGGTCTGGGTCTGAGTCTCCACATCCAGGTCCACTGCTTTTCCTACTAATAAGTAAAGTCCCCACTGAAACCTGCAAGGATAGTCAGAAATTGATAAAGCAGCAAAGGACACGGGTGTGTGTGTGTGTGTGTGTGTTGGGAACATCTTTCAGCCACTGTGTATACCCACCAGTGGGAAGAGCTATGTCACAGCTCCATGGGGCAAAGCAGGGGCAGGAAAAAGTGAGACTGTCCAAAGGGCATGGAATTTCACTATGGCAATATAGAAAACAGTGGATAAGAATGGCAGTGATGGATGCATTGGAGCATTGTCAGTGTGCTCAATTCCACTGGCCTATACATGCAAGAACTGGTGGGCATGGTGGCTCTATAATTCCAGCACTTGGAGATTGAGGTGGAAGAATCAGTGGTTCAGAGCTAGCCTGGGCTACATGGTAAAATCCTATCAAAACCAAAACAACCTCAAACCAAAAGATAAAAAAGTTACCCTGCTAAATTTTATGTTATTATATATTTTACCACAAAAACAAAAAAACAAAAAACACTAAAGTTAGAAGGAAGTTGCTGAGGCAGTCACTATAGAAAAGAATTCAATGGAGTGGGAGGGGGGTTTAAAAAAAACAAGGGATATGGACATAGCGGGAGGCCAATGTCTAGGTTGAGGACAATCCTGAGTTCCATAAAAGGATGACCCAGATTTGTTTTGTTATGGGACAGGGTCTCACTGTAAAGACCACACTGACCTTGGAACTGGAGGTCCTCCTTCCTCTGCCTCCCAAGGCTGGCACTACAGGTGTGCACTACCATAGCCAGTAAGGACAGCCTTAGCCTCTGCATGCTTCCTTCACTCCACGAAGACTCCAGGTTTCCCAGCATGATGAAGTGATGCTAGTTGGCTTTGCCCAGTCCTGTTACTCATAATAGACAAATGCAAAGTCCCAGAAACCACTTCTGTTTGGGAAGGTTTTCTTTTGCTCCAGGCTTCGGTGGTTAATGTGCTTCACAAATTTCATTGTTTCTCTATCTCTATAGACCAATGCCAAGGAATTGTTTTCTGGATTCACTATGAGCAGCTGAAATAAGAAACGTGAGACACATCAGAACGTAGAGCTCATTCTTAGCTCTGCAACCATTCTATTCTCCACAGGTGGTTTCCACAAGAGTATTTAAGCTGGGGATGAGGTAGCCTTTCAAAGATTCTTCATTACGAGATGAGCTTTTCTCTGTCAAGATATTTCCAACAGGCTCTGCTTCACTAGCAACACTCAGAAATGTTCTGCCTAATGCATTTGTTCCCTACTGCCTGGAAAGATTAGTGGGCATGAGCTTAACTCATAGGTTCTCAGTAAGGTAGAACAAGACTTGGTGATTTTCCTTTCAAAGCTTCACTGCAAGCTGAGTATTTTCTTGTAAAATTAGAACCACTGCAAGGCAGACCAATGTGGATTTATCAGCTAAAAACACTGGCTGAGGTAATAAATTTTGTGTTTCTTCCCAGTTACACTTGCTCACACCTGTAATCTCAGCACTTGTTTGGTGGAGGCAGGCATATTGTTGTGGAAAGTCTGAGGCCAGCCTGCATGAGATAGTGAGTTTTAGGCCAGCCTGAGCCAGATATTGAGACCCTACCTCCAAAAAAATAAATAAATAAATAAAAATCCAAACCATTAAGTAAATAAACTATCAGGTGTCTTTAGACCAGAACTTTTTCAAGTGTTAGAAAGGAGAACTTGCTATGAGAAAGAAACCACTTACCTCTTCATCTTCACCTTTGGCAATGTAGGAAGTAAAGCCGCCATATTCTGGCTCCCAGCCTGACAAGGGAAAGACAAACAGCACTAAGCTCACACTGCAAGACTGACTACTTACTGAACAGCAAGGGCTCTGGGACTTATGTATTGGCATTTAGTATCTGCTATTTTGGATTCCCTTTCCTTTAAATGCCTCATTTCCCAAACAGCTGAACTTGGAACACAGATTTACTAATAAACATTGAATGAGAAAATTAAAGGAATTAAATGTTAGATGTACTGACAAGGGCAATTATATTAAAAAAAAATATATAAACCCTGTAGTTGTGGTGGAGATTAAGGGAAAAAATAAGGTGTGGTCTACCTTTCCCTACCCATATATAAGTCTGATTTGGGGACACTGAAATTCATGATCCTCCCCAACATGCTTTAGAACTGTGAGAGTGTGGGCACAGGGAAGTACTTATGAGTTGGATCAGCTGGAGAGAGTCCCTCTTGGACTAAGGAGACAATTCATTGCCTTGCTTCTTCCTACCTTCACAGCCACAGTACAGAAACAGGTCCAAAGCAAATTCAGTCTTGCTGTTGTCGTGGACTAAAGTGTAATGACCAGTCTTCCAATGCCTCAGCTCCCCCTGGCAAGTGGGAATGCCTGATTCTAAGAAAACACAAAATAATGGCTAGCAAATGTTTTACAACTTTAGTACAGATGTCTGAATACAAGGGAATGCTGATTAGAGATGATAGGACATCACATGGAAACCATTCCCACAATCCTTCAGCTGGCCTACTGGCCTACCATAAGGTCTTGTGACAATCAGCAGTCTTACTATTTAGTGGGTGAATGTTGAGTTTCAATTTCTTCTTCTCTACTGAGATGGTGTATCACTATATAGACCACCAAGTCACTTGCCTCTACAAAATGAATTTTGTGATTAAACAAGTGTGCCACCAAACCTGCCTAAGTTTCAATTTCTTACATTTTAGAAGAAGCAGATTCAATCACAAAATAAATCAGTAACTAAATAAACCTAAAGTATACTTTTATTTAATCTTATTGCAGAGAAGAAACTCATATGTCATCACCAATGCAGAAAACGTGAAAGGTAGATAGACAGACTGATTACTAAATCTTCTTGTTGTCTTTTGGGTGTGGCTAAGGATCAAACTGAGAAGCCAAGAATGCCCGACAAGCACTTGACCACTGAGCTATATTCCTAGCCCCACTTGCTGCCCTCCTTTTTTGAGAGCGAGGGTCTTCACAAAGCCCAGAATGGCCTTGAACATGCAATTCTCTTACCTCAACCTTCAGAATTCTGGGATTACCATATACCATCATGCTCCGATTTGAGCACAAAAATATTTCATAAAATCCAAGGGTTAGGGATACAGTTCAGTGGTACAGTGCTTATCTCACATGGTCAAGTCTTGGGTTCCATTCCCAGTGCCACAAAAACAAGAACCACAAGATTACAAAACACTTTAAAGTTTAAGATGGATTCCCTGGGGACTCCACTGCTTCTTGGTATAGACCCAGCTTAGCTCCTTCCTGTGGACCCTCTCAGCCTTCTCTTCTAGCCCATCCCCATTTATTTGTGTCAGCTATAGATACCTAGACACAGTGTCTACCTGGGGCCCCCAGTGAGCACACTGGGATGGAGCGCACGTAAACAGATTTCTCTCTCTCCACTCTCATCTGTGTATAGATGTGATCTCTGCCATATCCTAGAAGAACTCAGGATCTAGGACAACTGACTTTGTTTTGTTCTCCTGTTCCTGGGGCAGAGACAGTGGGACAGTAGATGCTCTGGAAGTATTTGTTACATGGATAAGGATAAATCATTTGAATGCAGAATGGTTTCAGGTAAAACTAAAGGGGAGCTCTCACACCAACTTACCTTTCTTTGCTTCATCTTCCTGTGGTTCCGGATCTGCCTGTTCACCACTCTCTTGACTGTGGCTGCCAACAGCTGCCTGTTTATTCTCGGGCTCTGAGGGGCTCTGGCTGGTCCCTTCTTCAGTGCCATCAGCAGCACAGGCGGCTTCCCCGTCTCCTTTGTCCTCAAGCTCATCTTCTGATGGGGCCAAGAAGTGGAGCTTCAGGCCAGTGAAGTTGGAGAGCAACAAGAACAGAGCCTCAGAGCGAAACAAGCCCATGCACTCCTTCAGTACATCAGGGAGGTTGCTTTCTTCTGCTCTCTCATAAAACCTGAGAAGCAGCAATGGCAAGCTCTTCAGTCCCAATGTGAGATTACCCATGCAATCAAAGCTGGTCATTAGCTTAGAACCTTTCTCTCTAAAGGATGGAACAACTTACGACAATGATGAGACACTGCTAGGACCTGCTGCAACATATCCTGGGGAACTAAGTGTTGGGGCAAGTGTCCTAATGGAGATGAGCTATGCAGATGAAAGGGAGGTGCTGAATAGACATGGAACCATCTATGATGGTCCCCTCTACCTTCTATTTGGAGGACCACAGCTACTCCATTCCACATCTCCTTTCTCCAAGGCATCACAGACCTTTGCAAATTTCTCAGGCTGGAAAATAAGCAAATAAATAAGTTAGCAATTTGTGCACTCCCTCACTCTTCTCGAAGGAGAAGCTACTCTACAGAATATCAGCTGGCTAATTCCTAAGAGGTCCATTTGAATATTTCCTCTTACACACAAGATCTTCAGAGCAGCTTCAGCTAAGAGAGCTAAGAAGCATTGGGCTATTCCTTTAAGTGTTTGTAAATTTATTATTAAAGAATTTTTAGGCAAGGTGGTGGTGGTGGCCTTTAATCCTAGCACTGGGCAGGCAGAGGCAGGTGGATTTCTGTGAGTTCGAGGCCAGCAAGTTCTAGGTTCCAGGACAGCCAGGAATGTCACACAGAGAAATCCTGACTTGAAATTTTTTTTTTTTGCATATATGTATGTGATATATGTGAGTGTGTGCACATGATTGCATGTACCTATGCATATGTGTATGTGTCTTCTAGACAGGTCCCCCACTGAACCTGGAGCCTGTGGTTCCCTGACTATCCACCCACTAGGCTGGTGGCCAAAAATTCCAATAACCTTCTTGTCTCTGGCCCCAGAAAACAAACACATGAACACATGGGTGCTAGGGATTTGAACTCAGATCCTCATGCTTGTGAAACAAATGGTCTTACTCAATGAACCATTTTCTCACCTCCTAGGGGTTGTATAGCATATGTTAAATCGCTAATCATTAAATCTCAAATTCCTAGGGGCACTAACTCTTGGACTCTTAGGATGTCAGAGGAAAAGTTAAACTGTATTAGCTAGTGGCACTATAATGCACAATAATACAGACTCTCTTGACCCCAGACTGGCCCCTTCATTTAATAAGCTTTTAAAGTTTGAATAGTCAAATGTGGTGATATTTTGTTGGTGCTCTAACAAATAAAGCTTGCCTGAAGATCAGATGGCAGAGCTAGCCATTAGTTAACCTTAGAGGCCAGGCAGTGGTGGCACACACCTTTGATCCCATCACTTGGGAGTCACACACCTTTAATCCCAGCACTAGGGAGGTGGAGACAGAAAGTGATATGGCTGGGCAGAGAGAGGAATATAAGGCTGGAGGAGACAGAAACTTAGCTCTTTGGTATAAGGATTTGGTCGGTAGAGTTAAAAAGTCTCTCTAGTGGCTGGCTCCTTTATGTCTCTCATCTTTCAGCCTTTACCCTGATATCTGACTCTGGGTTTTTATTATTAAGACCAATTAGATTTGAGCTTCAGTCAATTAAAACATAAGAAACTGGCTTTCTATTGAAATAGATCCACAAGGGACTTTACTTTAAAAAATTATTAAATATTTATTATATGTATATGGGTATTTGGTCTGCATGTCCAAGCATCTGTGCATTGCCTATGGGGGTCAGAAGAGGGTACTGGATCCCATGGAAATGTAATTACGGAAAGTTGTTAGATGTTATCATTTCTGTAATAGTATAATGCCTCTCAAATTCTGTAATATTCAATGTTAGCTATAAAATTCTAACAATTTACATAACCCCTCCAATTTAGGAATGTGAGCTCTTAGGAATGTGAGTCCACAGTATTTATGAAGCACTGTGGTATCTCACACACAGCTCTCACAACTCTGCAAAAATGCCAAGGCAGGTATCATCCTACCCCAACCAACAATACAATAAATACCTAGTGTGGTCATTTGCTCAGGTAGGGAAACCTGAGCCAGGACATGACTTCTGACTTCAGCTCTCTTTCTACTCAGGTTGCCTCATGGTCAAACATTAACTATTAGATCACTATAAGGAGCAATCTATCATTAAAAATTAACAAATACCATATTCATCAAATGAACAGAAAGAAAACAAGCTAGGTACCAAGCCCTTTTTAGGGCAGAAGTGTCTGTGTGTGTACACTGACCATTATAGTGCTGGGCAGGAGATATGGTTCAGTGGTTAAAAGTGCTTATTACAGAGGACCTCCACCTGTAGCTTCAGTTCCAGGGCATCTGATACCCTCTTCTGACCTCCTTGGTCACCAACATGTATGTGTGCATACATACATATAAATAAAACAAAAAAGTAAACCCTAGAGGCACAAAGTCCTGGAGATGTCACGCACACACCTGACAGCAATGCTTATTATTTCAATTTGTGCATTTGATTTGAAGAAAATCACATAAACATCTAACTAGGAAGGAAAACAACTCTTAGTGCAGTCAGTTTTAGCAAGATGACATATCATACAACACATATAAAATAGGCTGTGATGGCCTACCTTAAGAAACTCCTTCAGGAGAATTTCAGACCTTTCCTCAAATTCTTCTTGAATTTGCATTTGATAATCCATTTCCAGATAAGCAGGGTTGATCCACTCATAAAGAATTTCATGCTTACAAAAAAGTAGCAGATACACGAGATCCATTAATATCTATAACTTCTCTTCTTATACCATTCCATAATCCTCACTTTTTGCATTTCTCCTTTCAAGTCTAAAGTACTAGTAAACTCTGAGAAAAACATTATCAAAATCTATCTAAGAAAAAATTGGAAGTTCAAAGTCCAGTTTCAGCCATTGGCAAGGTCTAATTTTAAGATCAGAAAAATAGGTTCATTGGTAGAATGTTTTGTTAGCATATGCAAGGTCCTTGATTTAATTTCTAGTACTGCAAAATACATGTCAGCTTACATGGTCCTCACAATAGTAAAATCAGAAAAAACACTAATCTCAGTAGCACATGCTCAGTACGTAAGATAAGAATCCAAATAATTTATGCTTACATCTTGTGGGATATGAGGGTTTCGAGGGATCGGGGGTTCAAAGTAGGTGGGAGGCCTGGTTAACGAAGGACCATGAAACCAGCCACTTATAGATAAACGTGATGTTTCTTCACTCAGGACTTCAGACACCTGCAAGAGCAAGACCAGCAACATATCAACACAAAGGGTGAAGAGTGAAGACACTATCTAAAGCACATTAACTTGAGAATCCATGAAGGTAGGTATGAAAGCAACCTAGTGAGAGACATACTTAGACGGTGGGTGATCAGAAAGCAAGATCCCTGACCCTTCATGCTTATAGATTTGTCTTACAGTATTTACCTGGTGAAAGGATACTGGAGATACTTCAAAGAAAACCAGTTTGTTCCATGAAGGGAGAAGAGACTTGACAATCTGCTTTGGCTGAAAGTGTTCTGCATCAGGAGAGAAGACATCCATAAACAGGTTTATTATCATTAACACTTTCAGGCTTCCTCATCTAGCTCTTGACATTCTTAAATACTCCCTTCTACCTGTTTCACTCAAACTTGCTAGTATGCTAGGTGACATTGCTTCCACCACACTGTCCGTCTATTATTATTATTATTATTATTATTATTATTATTATTATTTTGCTTTTGGAATTTTATTTTATTTTTTAAAAATCCAGAATGAATGAAAAGAAAAATCATCAAGGATATAGGTGCCAGACACAGGCCAACCAAGAGGGTAGCTGGGAAAGTCCTAAGGCATAAGGACCACGAGAAGTCTCTATTTCATCACTCTCCTGTATCTCTTTAAGCTATGTCTAACACAATTGTTATCCATTGACTAACTTCTGCACGTACAAACCATGGCACAGGTAGCTCAGTCATGCAAGGCCTCAGTTGAAGGACTACTTTATATATACATGGGCCATTCTACGTCCATCTATTAATGATGAGAGCTGAATTAACTTCTCATTTTCCTAGTCAACCTGTGGTGAGTTATAGAAAAAACTGAGCTCATATCAGACAGGTTGCTGTTGGCAGATTCACAGGCACAAGTAGCTTGGTATACTTTTTGCCCTTCCACAGTCAGGACATAAAACAAGATCTACTTCTTATCTTAATCAGGTTTTTTGCTGGAACAAACATTTGAAATACAATTTCAAGAAGTGGTTGTTAGGGCTAGCATTGATTCTACCTGTGTAGTCACTGTGACAAATACATGGTTTCTTTTTTCTTTTGGAGTTTTTGTTTGCTTTTTCGAGACACAGTTTCTCTATGTAACAGCTCTGGCTGTCCTAGAACTCACTCTGTGGATCAGATTGGCCTCGAACTCACAGCAACCTGCCTGCCTCTGCCTCCTGAGTGCTGGGTAGGATTAAGGGCATGTACCACTACCACCCAGCTGAATCCTACCACATGGTTTCTATCTCCTTTGACACATTATATGTCAGAATGGTGATCCTGAGGCAGCTGGTTGGAATTCAGGAGTGGCTACTGAAGGTGGTAAATGTGCATTTTACCATCAGTGTCGTAAAGATCCAGGGTGCCCCCCAAGTTCCTGTCCCAGGATGGAACCAGGTACAGAATGAAAGCGATCCGGCGACCCTCCAGCTCATCGTCATGGCAGAGCAGAGCATCTGCAATCATTGAAAGCATAATTTAGATCACTGTACACGGAGTAGCTGCTCTCTGCTTCTGCATTCAATCAGTCCCCCAGATATTCATCTGTAATGTCAACTCCAGCTTTATCTGTCTTTTTTTTTTTTAAAGATTTATTTATTATGTATACAACATTCTGCGTTCATGTATGCCTGCATGCAAGAAGAAGGCACCAGATCTCATTACAGATGGTTGTGAGCCACCATGTGGTTGCTGGGAATTGAACTCAGGACTTCTGGAAGAGCAGCCAGTGCTTTTAACCTCTGAGCTATCTCACTAGCCCCAGATTTAACTGTCTTGCAGTTTCAAAATGACACTTTTTCTCTTTTGTAAATGTAGTAATAAAACCCATATAATACAGAAATCTTTAAACACAATGAATACACACAGACCTACAATAGTTACTAACACTATTTTTCCATAATTTTAAAAATACTTCCCCCTCATATGTATATTCACTTAAAGAAATTGTATGATATAGTTGTGGGTTGTAGGCTGACTTCTTTAAAATTACAAAGTGAATGTTTTCCTATATCAATATACACCCTAGATATGACTTTCAATGTCTGTACAGTACTATATAGACTATAAATTTACCTTTTCTCTAATTGCATTTCTATTACTTATTAAATTGTTTGTATTTCTTGGCTATTCCAAAGAATGCCTTAACAAATCTCACTGTTCATAAATAAATGGATCCCTTTGTTCTTTAAGTTGGTCTTCTTCTACCATGTGGGTCCCAGGAAATCAAACTCAGATTGTCAGGTTTGGTGGCAAGTGCATTTAACCCACTGAACCAAGTCATCACACTGTCCTGATTCCTTTGTTCTTGTTTTCATTAACTGCCTAACCTAACTTTCTAAAGCCATTTGGTGGGATTAAGCAAGGTAGGCATCTATGCAGGATGGTACAGGGCAAAAGGCTACAGTGAACTGGGACCATTTATACATGATGGGATTGATCCAAGAAGTATGTTGAAGATAATGGGAGCTAGGTGTTGTATAATTGAAGAAGGTTTATGGTTAAGGAAAAGAAATGTAAACTAAGCCTTGCAGTATTCAACTAGCAGTGGAGAAAGCAATATGAATTCAGTTATGTGTATATATTTGTGTGTATATGTAGAGATACACATTCTGGTATTTTTACTGAAAAGGTCTAGGTGACACTCTAGTGACACAGACTGAGTCCAGGCCTTGACTTTCAAGTATCATTCTTCACTAAAAGGAACCAGGATGCACTCTAGGTCATTCTAGACCTGGCATGGGAAAGAACAGACATGCCTTGAAAATCCTGCTTTGCAGAAATTAGGAAATGAAGAATGATAAGAACATAGCATGAGGGCCCCAGATCAGCTCTAGAGTATTCTCCTCAATCAAATCAAAGACAATATAAGCCTCAATATAATAACAGCAATTGCAATAGCTCACTGTATAAATAGTAATCTACAAATTCATACTGATATAAGTAAATTGATGAATAAGCAGTGGGGAGAATTTTCATTACAGAGGAATGACAACCGATGAAAGCAGAAGAAATGAATTCCATAAAAATCATCATTTGGCAACTTATATTGCAGTAATTTAGCAATATGAAAATTACCTGTGAAAATAACTGAAGCAAAGCTTGGTGAGAAAAATGATAATTATAGGTTCCCAAAGCAGTATATGCAAGTTCTTGGTTCGACTCCCACAAAACCTTATAGTCAGGTCTGGTAGCAAAGATTTAAAATCCTAGCTACTGCAGCAAGAGAATCAAGGTTAAGGCCAATCTGGGCTACAAGGTGGGTTGTTCAAAGGCAACCTAGACAACTTAGATGCTAACTCAAAAAAAAAAAAAAAAAAGGAAAAAAGGATTGAAGATACAGCTTGGAAGTAGTGTTTGTCTAGCAAGTTGAGGCCCTGCGTTCAATTCCAGCAGCAAAACAAACAGCAACAGCATCTGCCACAATATGTACACTGACAGGAGAAGCAAAGCAACGGACAAATCTGACACTATCATGGAGAATGTTATCCAAGGCAACATTACCAGTAATGTGACAGAGTCACTTTGAACCATCTAGCAGGACTGGGAAAAAAGAAAGCCCAGCATTAGCTACTATATACTCCTTCCAAATGCACCTCCCAAGGAGGATCACCCAATCACAACGAACACAAGATAAGCCCAGACTGAAGGAGCTGTTAAAAAATAACTGCCTGTAAGTCTTCTGAAGCATCAAGATCTTGGAAGTCCTGGAGAGACCAAGATGCTATTTTAGACTAAAAGGAGCTCGACAGACAGGACAGGTGAATGAAGTGTGGCATCCTCAACTAGATCCTTTTGCATCAAGGACCAAATAGTGACAGATGAACCAAGGCCTATGAACTATATGGGAACAACACAAGCCTGTTAATTTTCTCACTCTGAAGGAGGAAGAATGACTGAAATGTTCAGGCCTATGGAATACCAGAACTGCAACTGTCTTTCAAATACAGCAGGAAAACAAATTATTTGTGCTATGCCTGCCACTTCTATTTAAGTTTGAAATAACTTCAAATTAAAAAAGAAAAAGAAAAAGGGGATGTGGTGGCTCACACTTGTAATCCCAGCACTCACGAGGATGGGCAGATGATCTCTGTGAGACTGAGACCAGCCTGAATTATAGAGTGAGACCTTGTCTCAAAGAAAAGAAAAGAAAAGAAAAGAGGAGTAACGATACATAGCAGTTTTTCTTACGTATTACTAAGTTTATCTCTAAAACATTTTACCAGCTTAGATTTCCCCAAGATAGCAAACCTGAATCAAAATTTAGTGAAACAAAACCAAGCAACCTTTCCTTCTATATAAAAAGACACACATATTCCAGTGCATATTTCTGAGTTCTGAAGAGGGAAGGCAGGAGACAGGGACTATTACTATTTACAAGGTCCATTTTCTGAATTAACTCAATAAGTTCAAAACAAAAAGAAGGAAAATCAGCATTAAGGGAACTTTTAGAAATCTAAGGGCAGAATTTACAATGCCACCTTCTGAGTTTTACAATACTGTGTGCAAGTTGATATGAGAATTTTTCTGAAACTATGATCAATTGCTCTCTTACTATACTACTTTATCCTTTGTGATATGATGGCTATTTCTGCATAGGAGCTGAATCCTTACTAGGAAGACCCCGATGCTACCTGGTACACTGATGATATTTTTTCATCATTGTGGGGTTAAAGCCTTGAAATCTTTAGACAGCAGGGCTTTATCCTCCTTACCAGTGAATTCATATTTAGCACAGGACATGTCAATGGTTGGTTCTAGGTCAATGCTGGAAACCTTAGAAAGCCAGTCCCGAAAATCTTCAAACATAAGTTTCCTAGAAGTATGAACAAAAGACAACTTGTTATGCGACAGCATGGGCTCTATCTGGAGACATGCCATCCTATGCTCTCTTAAGGTCACAGTTCATTCAACAGACCTGCTCTCAAATTTCATTCATGGGACCCTGAGAGATGCTCCAGTTTAAATCTGCATGGTATCCAGTTCCCAGAGAAATAATGTAACTCTGCTGCTACCACAGTGCGATTGCTCTAAGTCTCTGGGTTTCATTCTCTAGCGGACTTGCTCTCCCACACCAGCATTCTGACCTTTGCTGTCAGTCACTACATAACTGTCACATTACAACTCACTCATTTTCAGACAGGCTTCTCAGCAGTAAATGGGAAAAATATCGCTTTGTTTACACATTTTGCTTCTGACACCAAATATGTGGGCTTTTCTCTGTTACCTACCTATTTTTGGAAACAATTAGGACACCTTAAAACTCAGTTCAATTCCTACACTATCCACAGGATTAAGAGTCCAGTCTGCCAGGATTGGCCCACCTTCAGACCCAATGAGAGGACCAGCTGGTGAGTTGTGCTGACGGGGTATACCATCAGGAGGTCCCTACAACACCCTCCTCACAATGTACCATTGGTTACATAATTTTTTACTTACTGTATTACCAGTTTATTACAAAATGGCACAACTCAGGGGTTGGAGAGATGGCTCAGTGGTTAACAGCACTTCCTGTTTTTGCATAGAATCTGGGTTTAGTTCCCAGCACCCACATTAGGAAGCCCACAACTATCTGTAACTCCAGTTTCAGGGGATCCAATGTCCTCTGGCCTCTAGGGGTGTCTACACCCACATGAACTCAACTAAGGCACATACACACAAAAACAATAACTTTTTTAAGTGACTCAACAGTCAAATATAAAAGATTCACAGCATAAAGCCCCAGGGAGAGAAACAGAACCTCTTTCTCAGCTCCCTGGCACCTCAGGAACTTATGGATGCTTTGCTACATAGACAAGGTCGACTAAATAAAATACTGGAGACTGGGGATATATCCAGCCAACTGTAAACCCTTCTTCTCTTTGAAACAAGGTCCTGCGATGTAGCCTAGGCTTGATTCAGACTTGTAGCAATCCTCCTACCTCAGCTACCACCCTCCTCATTTTTCCCGGAGGCTATAAGAGTTAGAGCTGAGAGCTGTAACACTCTGAGTTATCTTCTTGGCAACTGTCCCTTCTTCCCCAACTCTTTGGAGGCTGTCCATTACTGTACGTTCAGGTATGGTACAAAAGTCATTTACCTAACAAAAGATTCTCCATTCACCTTTATTAATCTCAACACTTAAATTCTAAATTTAGGAGCTTGCTGCCATCAATAGAGACTAAGATCAAATATGCATTTCCTGTCATAAATCTCAGTACCATAAGCACTAATACACAACGCTAATGCACGTGTGCTCTTGAAATCAGGAATTTTTTTGTTTTCATTTTTTTGTTTTGTTTGTTTTTTTGAGACAAGGTTTCACTGTATAGCCCTGGCGACCTGTAACTAACTCTGTGGAGGTCAGCCTGCTTCTGCCTCCCAAGTGCTGGGATTAAAGGTGTGGGCCACCACTACCTGACTGAAATTAGGCTTTTTTTTTTGAACTGCCTAAATCCAGCTTCGGTTAAATCTATATATGCATCTTTCCAGACTTTTTATTGTATCCTTTCTAAAAATGTAACAGTGCCATAGGGAGGGCAGAATGCAACTGAGAATAGCTTTCCACTTTTGGGACATAACTGTGAATGAACTCATTTTCCCATCTGATGTATTTTATGCCACTTCTTTCTTCACACAGACAAGAAGCTGGGTCTAGAGTCAAGTTGTTAGTGCTAACGGCTCCAGTAACACTAGTATTGCTATTTAATAAACACTTGGGTGAGCAGCTGCAGGAGATCACAAAATGACCTGTCTAAAACTTAATTTATTTGTGTGTGTGTGTGTGTGTGTGTGTGTGTGTGTGCACATGCCATGACACACATGTGAAGGTAAGGACAGTATGTAGAAATCAGTTTTCTTCTTCAACCACATGCATACTGTGAATTAAACTCTAGTCATCAGTCTTGGTGGCAAGCATCTTTACCAGCTGAGCCAAGTCACTGGCCCACACAATGACTTTAAATTGTAGTAACAAATACTAAATTAATCACACAACAATCAACAAGATGACCACAGATGTTCATTATAAACTAAGCTGGCCTTTTGTGTAGAAGTCTCTTTAATACAAGTTATAAATGTTCAGCCAGGCAATTCTGAAATAATGTTAACTTTGATAATTAAAAAATTTTAGCTGGGCTGGGCGTTGGTGGCGCACGCCGTTAATCCCAGCACTCCGGAGGCAGAGACTGGCTGATCTCTGTGAGTTTGAGGCCAGCATGGTTTACCAAGTGAGTTCCAGGACAGGCTCCAACAATACAGAGAAACCCTGTCTCAAAAAACAAACAAACAAACAAACAAACAAACAAACAAACAAAAAAACCTTTTAGCTGGGCTGGGAGGTGGTGGGGCACGCCTTTAATCCTTGCAATTGGGAGGTAGAAGCAGGCTGATCTCTGTGAGTTTGAGGCCAGCCTGGTCTACAGAGCAAGTTCTAGGGCAGGCTCCAAAGCTACAGAGAAACCCTGTCTCGAAAGACCAAAAGAAAAACAACCCAAAAATGTTTAGCTGGGTATGTAGTACATAACAGTAATCCCAGTACTAAGGAGGGTAAGACGGGAGGGAGGATTGCTGTAAGTGCCAGGCCATCCAAGGCTACATACTAAAATATTATCTGAAAACAACAACAACAAAAACACAGTAACAGACCAAATAAATGAATAAATAAATAAAATACACACCCAAATCCAAATGTTTAAAAGATTTACATTTGATCAAATTATGTACATGAAGATATTGTGCTTGGCTGGGACAACCCCAGAAGTGTTCTGTAATGTCTAAAGGCACAACTGCCAATTATGCATAATCGGCCAAGACAGCCAGTCACTACACTGGGTCTTCAGACAATGGTGGGGGTAAGGGTAGGGATAAATATTTCTGATAAATCAACTACTACCGTCAACTTCCAAAACTAATTCTACAGAAAGCTGCTTTCTATACACACTATGAAGTATTAAAGGGACAGGCTTCTATCTTTTCTCATCCTTGGCATCTTTAATTTTATTTGTGAGAACACCAGGAATACACATGGCAAATAAAAAGACCATTTTCTGTAATGGTCAAGCAAGTCCAGCTTTCATAATATTTAGTTGTGATTCTTTTGAGTATGGCATGACACTCAGTCACAGATGATGAGTGTTTTGGACTAATGATAAAATGTCTCAAGTCTAAATTAGTATGAAATATGAGTTGGAGTTAACACATAAGCAATACTTCTGGATAGAAAGAAATAGCCTGAACAGGCTGCTATCATATATGGGAGTGTTTCAGATGAAAAAGAAAAGAGAAAAAAAAATAACTCTTTGCAGATAGATGAAGAAAGGCTATTATAAAGCATGTGCTCATTATAGAAAAAATGTCCCAAAGAAGTAAAAGGAAAATGTTTTTAAAATCTCTGTAATCCTGTTAGTCTATTCCAAGTGTTACAGTTCATACAAGGACATATACAGTTTATGTTTGTAGCAATTCCTTCCCTTTGAAAAGCATATTCCAATGATCTAAGATGCCTTTGATTGTAATAACTATCCTCTTAAATATCCCCCAAGGGGAGAAAATATTGCTAGTTAAACTAGAACAAAATAGCAACTACAGAGGACATTTAGATTTTAGAGATTTTTTTAAAAAGTATGATTGAATTGACAAAATAAAGTGCGACTATTCTGTTTATTAAAATTCATATACATATTCATGGTTGCCCAGTTTCTTATATGGAATCTTTGAGTAGTTCTTTGTTTTGTCACAATCAATTACTTTATAAACTGTTCATCCTTCCAGGTCTGGAGAGATAGTTCTGGTTAAGACCATCAGCTGCTTTTGCAGAAAACCTGGGCTCAGTTCCCAGAACCCACATGGCAGCTCACAACAATCTGTAACTCCAGTTCCAGGGGATCCAACATCTTCTGACGTCCAGGGGCACTGCCTACATATGGGGCATATGCAGGCAAAGCAAGGCATAAGCACAGTAATTTTTTAAATGCATACGTTTAAGGGATTGATACACCATCTTCTAAAGGAATGCAACAGAATGAAAATGTATCTAGCTTGTCTATACTTGAGTTTTAATTTTCAGTACTTCTTGGGTTTATGAACATAAATCCTACCTCCATTGTTACTTTGTTTCCATCACAACTAACAAAGCAAAACATTTATTATTAAGAATTTGAAGCTAGGCATGGTGACTCATGTTTGTAATCCTAGCACTTGGTAATCTGAGGCAGGAGGATTTCTGTGACTTTCAGGCCAACCCGAGCTACAAAACTGACCTAGACCTGCTGGAGACCTTGTCCATAAGGAAGGGAAAAAAGAAAGGAAGAAAAGGAGGGAAAGAGGAAAGAAGGGATGAAGGGAGGGTGATCAAATCATCAAACAAGTGATCCAAGGCTTAGATTTCTATCTTAGCTCTCAATTTTTGTTGGGTTGTTTTGAAGAAGTTAGTTTCTTAGGGTTTCTTTCTTCTTTACCAAATGCAGTGTCAACAGGGACTATATGAACTAACAAAGCACGTAGTGCTCTGCCCAACATATAGCCGGCACCCAACGAATGTAATTACTTGCTTACCTTAAAGCTGAGATATGAGGCTCTTTTCTCTTCTTCAAATCATCAGACTTGATCATAAAGAAAAAAAAAAAGGATTTCCTTATTACAGCATATTGGATGCAAAGAACAGTGAGGACTGATAGTAGTTTTCAGTTACTGCTCTAGTATGCCTGTCTGCCTGTCTGCCATGCTCTCACTATGATGGTCATGGACTCTAACCCTCTAGACCCGTAAGCCCCCATTAAATGCTTTCTTCTATACATTGCCTTGCTCATGGTGTCTCTTCACAGCAATAGAAAAGTAACTAAGACAGCATGGTATCCTGAAAGCAAAGTGAAAATATGTCTCTAGGAAGGAAGAGTGCAAATGCTTCTAAAAGATCAAGGATTATATGTCTTTGTAGCATAGTAGGTATTGTTAGTCTCATAAAAGGTCAAAGAATGACAAGTGAAGGCTTTATTTACTAATGTGGAGGCTGAGAGTTACCTTGATAAGTGTAGTGATAGAGGTAAAAGAGTGATAAAGCATGCTTACAGGAGGGTAAGAGGAAAAGATGAAGCAGTTTGGACAGCCCTTAAAAGAACCATGCTAGTGGGTGTGATGTCACAGGCCAGTAATTCTAGCACCCAGGAGGTAGAGGCAGGAGAAGTGTCAGTTTGAGGCCAGCCTAGGCTATATCTAGAGACCTAGTCTCAAAAAATAAATAAACAAATAAATAAATAAATAAATAAATAAATAAAAAACAAGCAAGCAACAGAACAACAGGATGGAAGCTAATGGGGAGAGTTAGAGCAAGATCTTTTAAATTTGTATTTAATTGAAAAAAATTTTAATAATAAAAAAAAAAACTTAACAGGGCTTTGTCATTATTGTCATATTAAATCCAATGATCCAGAAGGAAAAGCTTTTGAAGTTTCCTATTTGTAAAACAAGAATAGTAGTACATCTCATTCACAGGACTCTGATGAGGACTTAATAACTGAAGTGCTTAAAAAATATAGCACGCCTTTAATCTCATCACCAGGGGTGGGGGGGCAGAGGCAGGCGGATCTCTGTGTTGAAGTCCAGCCTGGTCTACAGAGTGACAGGACAGCTGGGTTTACACAGAGAAACCATGTGTCAAAAAAAAAAACCAAAAAACAACCACACACACACACACACACACACACACACACACACACACACGAGTGCACTCGCGCACTCGCGCTCGAGATTCAATTATCTGTTAAATTTATAGCAAATGCAAAGAAAAAGTATACACATGAAGAGTTCCTGTCTAAAAGTGGCTCAGTCATTGCAATGTTTGCCTTGTGAGCACAAGGACTTAGGTTCAATCCCCACAATCCACAGAGAAAAAGCTGGATAGCATATGCTTTTTATTTCAGTGCTAGGCTCATTGGTCAGGCAGCCTAGCCTATTTGATGAGCTTTAGGCTAACGAGAAACCCTGATTCAAAATAAAGGTGGATGGAGTCTGAGAAATGGCACTCATGTATGTCCATCCACATTGCCTAACAAACGAACGCCCCGCGCTCTCGCACACTCACAAACACACACAGGTACCTCAATTTAGTAATCAGAGATTTAGTAATTAGGATTGAAAAGTTGACATAATTATAAAAGCAGATAACTGTGTTTTTTTGTTACCTGGTAAACTTTACTGGAATAAAAGTTTGATTTGCATTAATTTTCCGAGTGTTTTGTCACTCAAATATTTAGTTTGGATAATTCAATCATATGTACAAGGTCTACAAATTGGATTGGGTTAGGATACCATTAGCTGACCAGATGATCAGCTCCAGTGGAAAAGAATGAGATGTTAGTTACTCTCTTATTCCTGATAAAATCAAAGGGGAAATGCAAAGAAAGCAAAGAGAATTCTTTATCTGCTTCATCGTGGGTATGTGCATATAGGTTCATTAACCACCTGATGAGGTTCTGGGAACAACTGAACTTGGGTCTTCTGGAAGAGCAGTAAGCACTCAGCCCACTGAGCTATCTGCCTAGCTACCAGTAATGAAAGACTTTATAGCCAAGGAATTTCTGAGGAGGAAGAGCTAAGACATAGGAATACATACCTGCTGGAACTTATATAAATCATTGTACTTTTCATGGAAGTCCAGACTCAAAAGTTCCTTCTGAAGTCCTTCCAGGAAGTCTTGGCTTTGGATGAAGTTTGGGATTACACAATGAAGAAAAGGATCCATGTCCAAGACAATAGCTTCTGTTGGAAGAAAAATATTACCTTTGTCTTTCTTCTCTTCTGTATTATACCAAGTAGCACAACATAATACAAAAGAAGACAATCATGAATTTTGGGAAACCTAATATTTAAAGTTTAAGATTCGGAAGAACCAGGCTGTAGTGACTCATTCCTTTAATCCTAGCGCTTGGGAGGCAGAGGCAGGTGGATCTCTGTGAGTTCAAGGCCAGCCTGTTCTACAGAGCTAGTTCCAGGACATCCAGGGCTACACAAAGAAACTCTGATTTGTTAAAAAAAAAAAAAAAAGATTCGGAGAAGAATTTTAAGTTGTCAATCCTCTAGTCATTCAAGACTACCTTTCTCAGATACTGTGCTTAAATGCTAGTCATTAATGAGTGAAGGAGATATCACTAATGGAAACTCCTGGTTTTTGTTAGTTTGTTTTGTTTTTAGTTTGTTAGCTTACTGATTCTTGCATCAATGCATTTTAGAGTCTTAACTCATCACTTTCTCCAGAGCAAAGTAAAACAAGAATAGCAAATTAAACGAGAATGGCAAAACTGGCTGGCCATTTTCTCTTTAATCCTGACCTTACTTCCCAAGTTTCCTGTGGGGAGGAAGTGACTGCATTAAAAAATAAATAAATAAATAAAGGAGTACTGACAGGCAGTGGTGGCACTTGCCTTTAGTCCCAGCACTGGGGAGGCAGAGGCAGGCAGATCTCTTTGAGTTCCAAGCCAGTCTGGTCTTCAAAGAGAGTTCCAGGACAGTCTCCAAACCTACAGAGAAATTCTGTCTCAAAAAAAACCAAAACCCAAACAAAACAAAACAAAAAAACAAGCAAAAAACAAAAAAAAAGGAATATCAGTTGGTTTCTTATTGATTTCTCTTCCACTAGATTATCAACCTATGACTACAACCAATCCGGCCGGACCTAGTAAGAGCCTGACCCGGGGGTGCTTTACAGGAATTACCTCAATTACGTTCTCAACAACTGAGGAATAGATAATGCTGACTATGCCTATGCAACAGATGAGGAAACTGAGAACTCTCTGTGGAGAGTCCACAGCCTGCACTTTAAACACTAAGTTCTCATTTTCTCTGTGTGTACAGAGTGTCCAGGATTCGCCTTTTAAAAAACACTCAAACGAGACAACAACAACAAAAACAGGGCAAACTTGGGAAGAAAATTCAAGACGCACCCAGCCAGATTCACGCTGTATAAGGTAATAACTTGTAGCTAAGTCTGGAATGATGGTTCCTTTCAAGATACTTTCGTTTCATGTGTCAGGTAGCCCAACAACAACGCACGTGAAAACCGGTTTCTCCAGGTGCTAGTTCTCTGGCAGCTCTCCACATCTGTTCAGGTTAGATGGCCATGCCACACTTGCCAGATTATTTACTGGTTCCCGGGGAAACATTTATGAATGCCTACGAGCATTAGTTTGTCAATCCTACCTTCCCGAAGGGAATAGTATTAATAGTTACGCTTTATAAAAGAAACTGACGCTAAAGCAAAGTTAAATGCATTGCCCAAAATGTACAATCAGCAGACCTCTGGTTCTAGAACTCAACCCTCAGTTTACATGTCTTCTACTTCCCCACACTCACGGACCTATATTTTCCTCCCCAGGCTTGTCAAATCAAGCAGAATTGGGAAAGAACCGAGCAGCAGTAGGGGGCTGTAGTCGGAGTGGCTATGGTCCTTCCCACACCTCTTCTCGCGGCCGCTCCTCCCTCACAGCACCCCATTACCATGGCTGAATGGCGTCCGGCAGCTCCAGGCCTCAGCCACCTGCTTCCTCACTGTTTCTTCCGTGACAGCGTCCGAAAACTCCGCCGCTACCTGCTTTTTTCCCTTCTTCACTGGCCGCGCGGGGCCCGGATCTGCGGGCCGCTTCCCGTTCATCCTCACCAAGCACAGTTCCACGCCAGGGACGTCAGACACACGACTTCCTTCCACAAACTACAGTTCCCAAAATGCCACATTCTTTAGTCCCAGCATCACCCAATGGGAAGGCACCAAAGAATAAGGAGGCTGGATCTATCCATAATTAACCATTGGAAGATGAACATACTGCGCCACCCTGCCAGCGATTGGCGGAATGGTCGCGGTGGGATACCCTCCCACTTCCTGCCGCCAGAGCCTATTCACTTCCGGCGTGCATTAGCCTCCTCTTGCTCTCGACTGTTAATGGCGGGCGGCGGCTGCTGAGCGGGACGCAGATAACCGCTGCCCGCCCTGCGGAAGTCTCCGCAGGCCCCGGCTTTCTGCACGTCTCCTGTATCGGAGCTGTTCAGCATGTCTGTGGTGCCGCCGAACCGCTCGCAGACGGGCTGGCCCCGGGGGGTCAACCAGTTTGGCAACAAGTACATCCAGCAGACCAAGCCCCTAACCCTGGAGCGCACCATTAACCTGTAAGTGCGGCGAGGCCTGGGCGGGCAAAACAGTCACCGGATGCGGGATGTCCCTTCCGGGATGCTCGCTTTCTTCTCCCCCAGACCGCTTTCTCGCCCCGGATTTGGCAGTTTTCCTATTTTGAAGAGAGATTTGTTCTCCCTTTCCTTTATTCAGTCATGGTTTGCTTTGAATTCATTATAATGTGCATGTTCTTTCAACCCATTGTTTTCATTGCACATGTATTTGTTTTTTATTTGAAATGAGTAACTATAATTTTGGTAGGGTGTATATTTCTTTTAGAGTAAGTTTTCCAGATTTACCTCTAATGGCCTAGGTTTTTTTTTTCTTTAAGTGTTGTGTAGTATTCTATCAAGTGACTACATTTTATTCATTTTCGTGCTGTCCTCTACCTCCTGCATTCGTATGTCTTGTCTGCCGAAGTGACACTATCACCGCCTGCACCCAGTAGACCTAGATTGAGAGTACACACTCTGTTGTCTGGTGGTCTTTAACACTGTTGGAGATAGCTTGTTGCCCAGAAAGCCTGTTGTGTCGGCTGTTTTTTTCTTCTTTTCTTTTCTCTTCTTTTCTCTTCTTTTCCTTCCCTTTCCCTCCTTCCCTCCCTCCCTCCCTCCCTTCCTTTTTTTGGACACAAGGTTTCTCTGTATTGCTTTGGAGGTTGTGCAGGAACTACCTCTATAGACCAGGCTGGCCTCCAATTCACGGAGACCCGACTACCTCTGCCTCCCGAGTACTGGCATCAAAGGTGTGCATCACCAACGCCCGGCTGTGGGCTGGTTTTGTTTTCAACACACCTTTAACCAATTTATTGCTTTTCGAGATCTCTCTCAAAATTTTGCTGTAGCAAGAAGTTGGGATTGGGATATAGCTTTATAGCTCACTCAGTATTTGGTATCCTGCTGCCCAATGTGGAGCTGATGCTAATGGAAGAAAGTGGCCAGTTCAGGCTGATTATGTATTTAAAAAGTGCAAGACTTTGCTGATGGTGTTTTGGTAAATCATCATTGTGTTTCTTGCTTTCATGTTCAAGTAAATGAACTTTTCCTTCTAAAACCAAATGTGACATAAAATTGAGAAAATTACTATTACTGTCTGTCAAAACAACTACTGGCCTGGAAACTTAGGTAATAAAATATGAGGTTTGTAAAATCTGGAAGTAGCTGAAAACTATGTCTGTGCAAATTAACTTTTGCAACAAAATACATAGTTGCACTTTAATTTCCTGTTATAAAAATGTTTATAAGATTCCTGTGAGCCTGGTGGTGGTGGCACATGCCTTTGATCCTGCACTTGAGAATCAGAGACCAGTGGATCTCTGAGTTAGAGGCCAGTCTGGTCTACAGATGGAGTACCAGGACAGGCTCCAAAGCTACACCGAGGAATCCTGTCTCTTAAAAAACAAAACAAAACAAAGGTTCCTATGAAATGGAGAAGGCAAGTGTTCTTTTAAAAAATGAATGAGGGGTTTGCTAACTGGTAGTTTGCCTAGTGTATGCAAGACTCCAGGTTCCATCTCCAGCACCTCAAAAAGTAAAAACTGCAAGCACAAGGTCTATATTACTTCAATGATGAGCGAAGGCCATGGGTTTTATATATACTATCCTTGATTCCTAGGTCAGTTGACATCAGGCCACTGTAGAATTATTGAAATAGGTGTGCTTTTAGAGATGTTTTACAGGTGAGCATGTTATTTTTCACTTCCTTTGTAATGCAATGTTGAGAAATAAATTGCTGTGAACTTGAGTCCACCTGGGTGAACTGTATACTAAATGGGATTTAGTATGTAGTAGGTCTTTGTTTCTGTAGTATGTTTTCATTTAGGGAAAACGGAATGGGTGCTTTTGTAACACACAGTGTGTATACACAGGACTAGGTGCTCAGATGGATGAGTAAGATGCACACTGTACTTTAAGATGCCCACAGTATGATGTGGAAAATGTGCTCTATGCGGTCTGATGCTCACATCTCACAGCTGGAAATTCTAATGTTTCATTCTGCTGGGATCTTACGATGTAGGAGATAGCCCTTGCAATAGAAATATATTGTGGCTGGGTGGTAATTCTTTCTAACGCAGGTTGGGAAAACCAAATGTTAACACATTGGAAAGCATTGTGCAGTAAATTGTACTATGTGTAGTAACTTCTTCCTAATAATGATGATATTAGATGGATTATTGGATCTACTGCAAGATTATTTGTAGTTGTTAAAGACCCCTGAAAAATGGGCCTTTAATCCCAGCACTTGGGAGGCAGAGGCAGGCGGATTTCTGCGAGTTCGAGGCCAGCCTGGTCTCCAGAGCGAGTGCCAGGATGGGCTCCAAAGCTACACAGAGAAACCCTGAAAAAAAAAAAAAAAAAAAAAAAAAAAAAAAAAAAAAGACCCCTGAAAATGGTATATTTTCATTGTCTTAGAGCTACTTTGTTTATGCTTAGAATTTGACTTCTGGAATTAGTGGGGTTTTTTTGTTGGTTATCTTGATTTTCCTTCTCAAGAACTGAGAAGGAAACTGTGTATGTAGTTGTCTATTAATGTCAAGAGTTTTGTGTGTGATATATGTGTGCTGTATGTATCCATGCAGATGTATATACTTGTGTATGTGAGGGTTTGTATGTGGAGTGTATGTGTGCACTCGAGTGTGTGTGTGTGTGTGTGTGTGTGTGTCTGTGTCTGTGTGTGTGTGTGTGTGTGTGTGTGAAGCATTTGTGACTGTATGGGTGTGCCTGTGCCACACAGCACTTGTGTGGAAGTCAGGGCAGTGTCAGGTGTCAGTTCTCACCTTCTACCTTGTTTGAGAACAAGATCTCTCACAGAGTTACCATGGGATCTTGTGGAGCTATCATGCTCAATTTGGTTTGTTTGGTGCTGGCTGGATGTTTGTTTATTTTTGTGGGTGCTGGAGATTGAATTTAGGGCCTCATGCTTGCTTAATAAGCACTTTACTGACTGTCTTCTCAGCCCAGTATCAAGGATTTTGTTGTTGTTGTTGTTATTTTTGGTAGATGAGATGCTTTGGAGTTTGCCATGTTCAGCCAAAACATTCTTACTGAAAAAAACCTATAATTTAGGGGCTGCAAGGTAGAATGTGGTGAAATATAAATGTAGATTTTAAACTTTAAGGAAAATTTGGTCTTTACTAATCAAGATGAAGTCTTTAGCACTTTAAGTCATACTTTGGGTTCTAGATAGAGAGAAGAGGCTATTTAGCTTAGATATGGGCGGGAAGAGTAAGCATACTGGATAGGGTAAATGCCAAACTCAGAGGGAAAAAGAAAACAGGTCTAAGCCACTGTGGTGTTTTATGTCCTTAATCCAGCACTTGGGAGGAAAAAGCAGGCTGGTCTCTGTGTTCAAGGCCAGCTTGGTCTAAGTTCCAGAACTACTCTGTTTCAAAAAACAAGCAAGGGGATAGAAAGATGGCTCAGAGGTTGAGAGGTCCAGAGTTCAATTCCCAGCAACCACATGGTGGCTCACAACCATGTGTGGTTGTGAGCAAGATCTGGTGCTGGCTTCTGGCGTGCAGGCATATATGCAGGCAGAACATTGTATACATAATAAATCAGTCTTTTTTTAAAAAAAGAGCAAAATCTGGGTATTGCTGGGAGAGACAGAAAATAGTTGGAGAGGGACTTCTTGAGGTAAGAGTGCTTGCTGCCAAGGCTGATGATGTGAGGTTCAGTCCCCAGAACCCACATGGTGAAAGGAGAGTACAGACTCACACAAGTTATCCTTTGACCTCTGAACATGTCATAGAACATCATATGAAGACATGTACAAAGACTTTTTTTTTTTAATTAAAAGAAAGCAAGAGAGATGTTGATAGACAGTGGTGGCTCAGCATATATGAGAAAAGAGATTAGCTGTAGTGCCATTTAGCTAATAGAAGTTATAACTAGGTTAATCAGAAGAACCAGGCCGGTCATTTGGTATTAGTGTAATGAAATGATTAAAACCAGTATGGATATAAACTTTGATAAACATTTCAGGGACCTTAGGACAATGCAGTCTGTGCTTAATTCATGGAAGTTCTGGCTTCGAGAGTAAGACAGCAACAGTATTCTCATCTTTGCTATCTCATAGCTGGTTGTGAAGTTTTGGGCCAGCCTTTGACAGTGTAGCTTTGACCACTGTTTTTTTTTTTTTATGTTGTTTTGAACTGTCCTGGTAAATAAGATCATCTGTTCTCATGCTAAATGCTTGTCTTTGGTTCACAGGTATCCGCTTACCAATTATACCTTTGGTACAAAAGAGCCCCTCTATGAGAAGGACAGCTCTGTTGCAGCCAGATTTCAGCGCATGCGGGAGGAATTTGATAAAATTGGGATGAGAAGGACTGTAGAAGGGGTTCTGATTGTGCACGAGCACCGGCTACCCCATGTGTTACTGCTACAGCTGGGAACAACTTTCTTCAAATTGTAAGTAGTGTTGGAAATTAACAGCAAGACAACTTGTAATAAATTGACTCTTTAGCTTGGAACACAATTATTTATTTAAACAAATGCTATGAAAGATTCTTGAAAGAAAACAGTCACGTTTTTTCTCCAGTGTAGTGC